TGTGCTTGGAGGGAAGGTCAACCAGCACCTGCACAGGGGGGGGGGAGTGTGAGGGGGTGGGGATGGGCGGGCGGGTGCTGCTGCTGGCGGCTGGGGGAGGCGGCAGCCGGACCAGGCGGCCAGCAGGGCGGCAGGGCGGCGGCACCGCAACACTCAAGCCAGCACCCAGCACCCAGCACCCAGCACCATCAGCCACACCCGACCCCACCCCACCCTGCCGCCCCCCCACCTTAAAGTCGCGCTTCTCGTTGTTGTCGTAGTGCTCAAAATAGGTGACCACAAAGTTGAGGGCGGCGGCGTCGTCGGGGATGCTGTACAGCGCCTCCCACCACTCTGCGGGCGGCGGGGGCACAGGGAGGGGGGAGGGCGGGGAAGGCCAGTTGTGAGGTCGGTGGGAGGTGGCTGGGGAGGGTTGTGAGGTCGGGAGCGAGACTGTTGAGCAACGAAAGAGGGAGGCAGGGAGGGGGGGAGGTGCTGGGGTTTGGGTCAGGCTGCACCCGCGGCAGCGCCCGCCATGCACCCGGGTGCAGCGCTGGCGGGCGGGCGGGCGGGACCTGTTGCTTGGTCCTCTGCAGCGCCGCGCTGCGCGGGCGCCTCACCCTCAGCCAGGTCCACGCCCGTGATGGTGGCGGCCAGGCTGGTGGCGGCGGTGGCGGCGGGGCCGGGCGCCGCCGACCGAACCATCTTCACATCCTGGGGAGCCTTCCAGTTGTTGTGGCCTGCGGGCGGGCGGGGGGGCGAGCCGCAGGCAGGGGCCGTTGTTCGAGGCGCGCAGCGGTGGCAAGCGGAAGCCGGCACGGCGGCGGCGGGCCGGAGGCGGCGCTGCCCCACTCTGCTCCGCACAGCACGGCTCTGCCCCCCAGCGGTGCACCCCCCCGGCGCCCCGCCCCCCACCCACCAATCTTCAGCGTCAGGTTCTGGTCCTGCGGTACGTCAAAGGAGGCCAGCGGGCCGCCCAGCCGGTTGTACTGCAGCTTCACCACGCTGCCGGGCTGGGCCATCTGCGGGGGCGGGGCAGGGGGGAGGCAGGACAACCGGGGAGGTAAGCTCGGCTCGGCGCGGCGGGAAGCGAAGGGGAGGGCAGCCTCGAGGGCTGGCATCAAGCAGGCTCCACAACCCCCCCGCAAGAGCCTCCCTCTCTTTCGCCCATCCCAGCCGGGTGCCACACCTGCCGCCCGCTGCATTCAGCCCGCAGCCCGCAGCCCGCATCCCCCCAGCCCCCCACCGCGCTCACCGCGGGCAGCATGCGCCAGCGCCCCAGCTCCTGCTTGGCCGCCCCCTTCTGCCACGCCGCATACTCGCGCTTCAGCTCCCCCACCACATCCTCCGCCTTGCGCTGGTCCGCCTCCTCCTTGGCGGCCAGCGCCGCAGCGGCCGCCTCCGCCGCCTTGCGCTCCTCCTCCTCCTTCTGCAGCTTCCAGGCAGCTTCCTGCACGCAGGACGTGGTGGCAGGGCCGGGGGGAGGGGTGGCGCGCGGAAGGCGCAGGCGGGCAGGGCGGCACGGCTGCCGCTGCAGGGTCGGCTGGCGGTGCAGGCAGGCAGGAGTGCGCTGGCATGCCCAGCCCCAGCCCCCCACCCCCCCTGCTCACCGCGCGCTCGGGTGCGGTGTCGATCCACATGTCTCGGGTCATGGGCCCCGTCACCGGCACCAGGTAGTTCTGCGGGGGGAGGGCGGGGGCGCAGGCTGGGTCAGGGCTGGCAGGCTGGGTGCGCTGGGGGGTGTTGGAGGGCGGTGCCGGGGGGGTGCGTGCCGCGGCGTGCCTGCTCCAATCCCCCCGTGCCACCCCTTTGCTGCCGCAGCTGCGCCCTTCCTCGCTCCCCTCAAAGCGGGCGAGGCCCTCAAACCTCCTCCCAGCCCCTTCCCTTGCCCCCGCACCCCCACCTGGCGCCCCGCTCATCCTTTGCCCCCACCCACCACAAACACACCACCACCATCACCACCACCACCCACCACCCCCTGGCCCCACCTGGCTGGAGTTGTTGTCAAACACGCCGTCGCCATTGGAGAAAACAAAGTTCATCTCAAAGGCGTTGTCGGGGATGGTGACGCGGGCGGAGTAGTAGTCCACGCCTGGGGGCAGGTGGGGAGGAAAGCACGGCAGGGAGGGAGGAAAGCACGGGGTGGGCGGTGCACAAGGGGGCGGCCAGCGCCACCAGCCGACCCAGGCCTGGCAGGCGGTTTCTCGGCGCGGCGCCGCTGGCTGGCACGGCGGGGAGCCACCCGCCGCCCACCCCGCGTCCCACACACACAGCGCTGCCCGCCCCGCCCCGCCGGCACCCCGCCCTGCCGGCCCCGCGCACCCTCCCCGCGGTTGATGCGCCCCTCGTGAGGCATGTCGACTCGGTCACCCTCCGGCGCCGCCACCTCCCACGTGTTGTACTTCGGGTGCATCTGCAGGCGGCCCTGGTGCCTGCAGGCGGGAGGGGGGCAATAAAGGGGTCCGCGCAGGTGCGCAGGCGGCAAGGGGGGGTCATCGCCCGGGCAGCCGGGGCGGCGGCACCGCGTGCGCCCGCTGCCAGGCCGCCGCCACCAGCGGGGCCCAGCCCGCGCCTCCACCGGCGCAGCCGGCCTGGCCGCCAGGCAGCGCGGGGCGGGGCGGGGCCGCCTCACATGAGCGGCTCGCTCTGGGATCGGTTGAAGTAGACGACGCACTGTGCGCCCGCCACCGGCTTCTCCGGTACCGTGAAGTACAGCCACGACTCCCGACCCTGGGCCAGCACTGCGGCTTCGCGGGCGGGGGCGGCGGGTTAGCCGGCAGGGGGCGTGCCTGGCCTTGAGCCGCTCGCCACCACACACACACACAACCACACACACCACCGCCAGCGCCCCACCACCCACCCTTGGGGTCATGCGTGTCAACCTCCTTGTTGGCGGCAGCAATGTCCTTGGAAAAGTCGCGCGGCGGCGGCGGCGGCGGCGGCGGCTTGGCCGCAGCGGCGGGTCCCTTGGGGAACGCCGGGGTGACCGCGGGCTGCGCTGCCGCAGCCGCGGGCGCGGGCGCTGCTGCAGCAGGCGCGGGCGGCGCCGCGGCAGCGGGAGCAGGCGCCGCCGCGGCGGGCTTGGGCGGCTGCACGGAGCTGGGGGGCGGGGCCACGACGGTCGTGGCTGCCGCCGCGGAGGCGCCGCCGCTGCTGCTGCCGCCGCCTCCAAAGCTGAGGGTGGCCGGGGAGCCGGCGGCGGGCTTGCTGGCGGCGGGGGCAGGCTTCTCCGCTGCCGCTGGGCTGCTGCTGGCGCCGTTGCGCTGCATGCCTGCAGGGAAAGACACGTCACGGCGGCAGGAGGGGCGTGCAGGCAGGTCAGGAGGCTGGCTGGCGGCAGGCAGACTCCCACTGAGGCGCGTGGGTGTGTTGGGCCCAGCCACGCCAGCGAAGCGAAGCACAGGTGCCAGCCGCGGGTGAGCTCACCAGTGGCGGCCGCCTTCTCACCCATGCCGCGCCGCACAGACTCCTCCCCCCACTGCGCAGAAACACAGGCAGGGCGCAGCTAGTGACGCAGGGCTGGCAGAGGGCGCCCAGCAGAGCGGCGGCAGCGCACGGCCAGCAGCAGCCCCCCACAGGCGCGGCGCACGGCACCAGGCGGCGCCTCACCTTGCTGCTGCTAGGCGCGGCCGCCTCGGGCTCCGCCACCTTTGTGGCAGCCGCGGCACGGGCCTTGATGCGCTCAGCCTGCACACCCCAGCGCCAGCGCAGCGCAGGCGACTGAGCTCCTGCTCGCACCCTGGCAGCAGGGCAGGCAAGCAGCAGCAGCAGCGGCACTCCCTGCCACCCCGACTGGCCCACTGGCCACGGCGCCGCGTGCCCTCCAGCCCACAGCCCTCAGCCACTCGCCTCTTCTGCCAGCGGCGGGATCTCCACGCCCGTCGCCTTGGCCGCATCCCGCAGCCGGTTGTGCTGCTCAATCAGCGCGGTGCGCTTCTCGGGGCTCAGGGCATTCAGCCGCGCCGCCATGGCCTGCAGGGCGGGCACCAGGCAGGCGGGGTCGCCACCCAGCGCAGCAGCAAGAGGCGGCACCGGCACCGCCGTTTGCTCAAGCGTGGAGACGGCCCCTGGAGCCGCAGCAGGGCTGCGTGCCTGGCGCAGGCGCTCATTCTCCTGGCGCAGCTGCTCGGCGGCATCGTCAGACGCGGCGGTCGCCACCACCTGCAACACGGGCGCATGCGGCAAGGTGAGCGCAGGAACTGGGGGGCCGCTGCGCGCCGCCGCAGCCAGCTTGCATCCGAGGCAGCCAAGTTCAGCGGGCACGGCACCCGCTATCCCTTCCAGGGCCATGAGCCACCGCCAGGTGCACAGGCCTCCCCGCAACAGAAGCGCAGCGGCGGCCGTGCACCAGCACCGCACACACCTGCCGCCTGCCGCCAGCGCCACGGTGCAGCCTGGAGTGGCGCTGCAGGGGCCGGCTGCTGCCCAGAGACCCGCCTGCACAAACGAAATCATCGGGGGTGGGCAATGCGAGCGGGCGGGCGCCAGCAGCGGCTGAGGTTGACGCAGCACATGTGTGCTCCCATGTGCGGTGCTGCGCGCTCACCCGCTAGCCGGGATGCGGGCGTGGCATCGAGCCCGCTCCCCAGCCGGCTGCTTGCCAGCTGCATATCGGGATGTTTCTCTCGTGGCCAGCGATCCCTTGTGCTTGCTGTGCGCCTCCACAGGGGTGTCCTGCCCTCCCTGACGTCCAGATGCGCCCCTGCTAGCGATATCAGCGACTGGAAGGCGCAATGCGCGGCGGGGGCGGGCCGGCCTGCCTGATGAGGCCGGCCCCGCCACCTGGGCGCTGCTGCCGCGCCGCCCTCACTTGCACCAACACATTGGCTTGGCAGGGCCGGCTGTGGCCAAGCTGCCAGCCTGATGCTGCTTCCCACCCTGCGAGAGACACGTTTTCCCCCTTCCCACACATGGCAAGGAACGTGAAGGCCGGCGCTCCCACTTTTCGCCCAACGCACCGCTGGCCGGCTGGCGGCGCCACACCTCCTGTCGGCTTCTTACAACACCGCATGTCTTGTCAAACAAAGACTCGGTCACGTCACAACAAGCAACTCCAAACGATTGGTTTCGTTCGAGGGAGCATGGCAAGGGGAGAGTGCGGCACCGCGGACAGAAAAACGCGCGGCCGCGTGTCTCGGATCGTTTAGTCGAAGAGGGGCAATGGGTTGAGCATCGGGCGGTGCAGCGCCGCCGGTTGGTGGTGCAAGGAATGGGTAGAAGGGTAAACAATGTGGACGGTAGAAAGGGGAAGAGGCAGGGGGGTGCGGGAGGCAGGGTGAGCAAGGCAAAGACATGTGTGTCAGGGCTGCCGTCGCACCGGGGGGCAGTCAACCACAGTCGCCCGAAAGCGACAGGTAAGCAAAGCGGAGCCAAATCTGCAGTATAAATACAGGCGTGGGGGCGCTGCCAGCGTGGCTCGAGCGCTGGCTGCGTCATGCTGCGGCAGCGGGCAGCACGCCGAAGCACATCGGCGGGCACTTCGGCCGCTGCCCCGAACAAATCAGGGGCGTTGTGCGACAGCCCGCCAGGCAGCCTCGCGAAGCGGGCTTGCCGGCTGGGGACGGCGCAGGGCGGCTGGAAGAGAGGGGGGGAGCAGAAAAAGAGAAGAAAGGAGGGGCAGGGAACGAGCCTAAAATCGTATGTCTTATACTAGCGGATCCTACAGACCGACAAATCACGGGTTCGCCGATGGGTTTAGAATGTGGGAAATGCTGTGAGGGTGCCATGAAATGATGGATGGGGATGCTACCTAGAAGGGAGGGTTGACTGAAGGAATGCTATGCAGGGGCAGCCCGGCAAACAATGGCGCCTAGAGGCAGGGGAGCTAGCCTGAGGCGAGGCGGCAGGCGCTAGCGCTAAGAGACGACGTGGCTTCAACAGCCGCGGCGGGGCGGGGCACGGACGCGGGCGTGCCGCGGCCCGCTGGTGCCGAGGGGGCGCCCTCACACCTTCCACACCGCCAGCTCGCCGCCCTTGTCGCCAGACACAACCAGCTCCTTGCCCCCCGCCGCCAGTGTGCGCACCGAGTGGTTGTGGCACAGCAGCGGCTGGGCGGCGGGCATCAGCAGGGAGGGGTCCCAACGGCGCACCAGCTGCAGACAGGAAGGTGGAGGGGCGCAGCCGCGGCAGCGGGGTCAAGCACAGATACACCCAGCCGCGGCGCTGCATGTGTTGGGAGCGCAGACGCAGCCATGCCAGCAGCGTGGAAGCGGCAGCAGCGGCAGCAGGCGCCGCACCTTGTCGTCGCCGCCGGTGTAGAGCAGGCCGTCGGGGCCGACCGCCAGGCAGTGCACACGCTCGCCGCCGTGCGCGCTGGACCTGCAGGCGAGGGAGGGGTGGCAGCAGGAGTGGGCGCAGGCGAGCAGGAATGGCAGACTGGCTGCCCGCCGCACACAACCCCAGCCCGCAGCACGCGGGACGTCCCGCGGGCCGGCCCACCCAGGCCGGCAGGCAGGGAGGCAGGCAGGGCGACGGGTGCCTCTTATGTTGGGCAGGCAGCAGAGTGAGGGGCTGCCCACCTGTCCACCACGATGTCCAGGTTGTCTGCATCCCAGGCCTTGAGGCAGCCGTCGTAGGAGACAGAGTAGAGGAGAGCGCCGCGCAGCGCGATGGCCGTCACGCGCTCGCCGTGCGCCTTCATGTGGCAAGCCACCTCGCTCAGATCCCCCGACTTCCTGTCAATGGACCAGGCGCTGCGGGGGGGAGGCGGGGGAGGAAGGTGGGGGAGGGCGTGAGTGCAGGGACGAGGCGCGACGGGCAGCAGCAGCGCGGGCCGGCGCCGCATTGGACGGCTGGCGCCAGCTACCCTGCACGCCGCGCGCGCGCTCGAAGCCCCGCCGCCGACGCCGCCAGGCCATCGCGGCGCGCCGCCCGCGCACCGTATGCTCCCGTCTGCGTTTGCGGCGTAGATGCGGTCCTTGCGCGCCACCAGCGCCAGTATGTCGCCCTTGTCCAGGCAGACCGTGGACACGCAGCGCGGCACGGCGCGCGACATGTCCCACTGCCGCAGCGTGTTGCAGGCGCAGGAGAAGAGCCAGCGGCCCTGCGCCACCGCCAGGCTGCGCACCCAGCCGCAGTGCTCATCCAGGACGACGTTGGAGTCGAGCTCTGCGGCGGGGGGCACCCACACCGCCACCTGCTTGGCGTGGTTGCCCACAAACACCTGGAGGGGAGGGGAGCGCAGGGAGGGCGGGCTCAGGATGCTGGGGCCAGGGCGGGCAACGGGGAGCAGCAGCACCGAATCAGAATCCGCTGCACAAGCCGCGGCGCGCGGCAGGCTGCAGCTGGCCCGGCCCCCCGAGGCGCACCTGGTTGGGCAGGCCGTCCTGCTCGCGGCTGTCGAGCGCCAGGGAGAAGATGGGGCCGCCGGGCGGCGCCAGCCGCGCCTCCTCCTTGAACCCGCACACATCCAGCTCCTCGCAGTTGCCCTGCGGGTGTGGGGGTGGCGGCAGGGGGAGGCGTAAGCGGCAGCATGGCAGCAGGTCAGGCGCAGGTGAGGGCCCGGAGGGGCGCGGTGGACGGCCAAAGGCAACCGGCGCCGTTGCGACGCGGGGAGGGCGCCGGCGGCGGCGTTTTTGAATGCCGAGGCTGCAGCCGCGCACCTGGCTGGTCCACAGCGCCAGCGTCTTGTCCAGGCTGCTGGTGACTATCTTCTTCTCCTCGGCTGCAGCGGGGAGCAGCCCGTGTATCGTGAGCAGCCACCCTAAGCATGCGTTGGCCCAGGGCCCTGCACAGCCGATATCCCTGCGCTGCACCGCGTCCCGCCCGCTCCAAATGGTGTTCCAAGCGCAATGCGGGGTCTCGGCTGCCCTTTGGGCCTCTCACCTGTGTCTTGAAGGACTATGGTGGCAGCCAGGCTGCTCTCGTGGGCGCGCAGCTTCTGGTATAGCACAGCCTCCTTGTGGCTGACCCTGACGAACTCAGCCACGGCCGAAACGCGCAGGGCGAGACCGCGGCATTGTTTGCCTCCTTGGCGCCGAGACGCCTGGAGGCTGCTGCCGCGGCTGTACCTATGAAACGTGCTGGTGAGGCATGTTGCGCTCGCGGCAGTCGCCATAGCCAGCAGGAGGTGGTGCAAACGGGTGGACAGCCAAAGGGTGAGACAGAATAGGGCGTCCCACGCCCGCGCCACCCAACCACAATGTGGTGCGGCGGGAAGGGGAGCGAATGGCGGGCGTGGTAGCCTGGATTGGCTAGTTTTGGCCTCGATGCGCTCAGCCCTGCCGTGCTGTGCTGAGCCTCAGCAGGTGATGGATGGCTCAGAGGCTGCAAGAGGAATCTGTGGGGCCCAGGGCACCTGCGTGGTAGGCCCATGCCCTCGTCCCAATACGTGCCGCAATCGCTGCCCCGCAGGGCAAGCTAGCCGCAGGCGGCCCGTCGCCCCCATCCGCCGCCGCTCGCACCCGCTGGCCTGAAAAGGGCGTCCCGTCCGCTGGCCTGCCCCAGTGTTCGTGGACTACAGTTACATGCCAGCTGCCACAGGGTATTGTGCCAGCAGGTCTGGATGGGCTTGTAGGCGGGCCCCCAAGCGGGCGCCAGTGCGCCACGCCGGGGCCGGGCCTTCACCCCGCAAAAAGCCGGCCGGCGACAGCCAGGCCTGTTTCAGCAGAGCGATGAAAGCCGTGTGTGGGAAAAGCAGAGGCTGAGGGGCCAGCACTAGGAGAGGCGACACGCATACAAAGCTGGGGGGCGGCCGGAGCACAGTCAGGGGGCGCACCGGCGCCAAGATGCATATGGGTAGGCCGACAGAGCCTGCCAGCCGTGTGGGTGTTGCCACAGGCGGCACGGGGCGCGCGCAAAAAAAAAGGGCGGCGGCTGGCTTCGTGTCAGGCGGACGTCAGGGATAAAACGCAGCATACGGGGGGGCGCCACAAGGGGCTGCCTTTGGGCAAAAAGCTTGCAAAAATTGGCAGGGGTAGGGGTAGGGGTATATCAATTAAATGCTTTCACAACGTGAGCCTCTCGATCACTGACCTAAGCAAGTATGGGGGAGGCAGAAGCAGGGAGAGCAAGCAGGGTGGGGCAGGCAAATGTGCTGCCCGCCGCGGCGCGCGCAGGTGGGCGCGGCGCGCCAAGCCGGGGCGGCAGGGCAGGGACGAATGAATCAGGGTCAGCTACAGGGCAAAGAGATAAAGGGGCAGGGGGGAAATGGGGTATTCGCATTGGCAGATACATGGGGCCGGATGCAGGGCCGCCTGGGCCAGCCGCTGGTGCGGCAGGTAAGGCTTGCGGCATCCGCATGTCCCAAAAGAATAAACGCGCCGCGCTAGCAGTGGCGCGGAGAGGGGTAATGGGATGAAAGGGGGCGGCAGCTGAATCATTTCAGGTGTGCGAGGGCCCCGGCAGGTGGCCGTCCTCTGACAGGTCTGTGGAGGTGGCATGGCAGAGCGCGAGGGGCGCCGTCAGCCCCACCGTCGCCCCTGCCACTGCTGCTGGCGCGGCGTCTGGCAGCGATGCCGCGGCCAGCTGCGCGCCTGGTCCCTCCAGGTCCAGCGCTGCCGCTTGCACGCCAGCCAGCAGATCGGCCGGTGCTGCCTGCAGCTCGCGGAGCAGCGCCAGGTCGTCCGCCGCCGCAGCCGAGGCGGGCTCAGCCAGCGGGCTGGCAGCCAGCTGCTGCGCGTCTGCCGCCGGCGCCGCCGCGGAGGTCGCCGCCGCGTCCTGCGCCGCCGCGTGCACCGCGCCAGCCACCATCTGCTGCAGCTGGTGTGCATGCAGCGCCGTCGCCGCATGCTGCTCCAGGCGCAGCGCCTGCACCTCGTCCAGTAGCTGGCGGGGCGCCGCCGCAGCGGCCACAGCCTGTTGCCCGTGATACTCTGCTGCCACGCCCGGCGGGGGCGCGTGGTGCAGCAGCGGCGCCGCCAGCTCAGCAGCCATACCCGGCTCCGCAGCCGGCTCCGCCGCGCCGGCCAGCAGCTCCTCTGGCAGCGCCATGGCCGCAGCAGCCGCCTCCGCCACCTCGTACTCGGCGGCAGCCTGCTCGGCGGCAGCCGACTCGACGGCCCACTCTGCAGGTGCGAGGTGCGGGCGCAGGGCAGGACGCGGTCAGCCTCAGAATGCGGGCCGACACGGCTTGCCCGGCAAGGCGGGTGCCGGCGCGCCTCGAGCAACCTTCATGCTGCTGCCCCTGGCTGTTCAGCCTGCCGCGCTCCCCAGGCCCCGCCCTCCTGCCTGGCCGCCCACCTGGGTCCACGCTGTATCCCGTGTGCAGCACCTCAAAGTGCGCCTTGGCCCAGGATGTGACCGCCAGGCGCACGTCAAAGTCGGGGCAGAAGTCCTGCTCAAAGCGCAGCTGGGCGGGGCCGCGGTACGGGCGCTGCACCGGCTGCCCGTTCTGCCAGCTGATCTCCTTGGCGTCCTCGGGGTAGGACAGCACCACCTGGCGGGAGGCAGGGGCAGGAGGGGGAAGGGGGCAGGATGCCAGGTCAGCAGACCACACAGCACCCAGCGCGGCGGCTGGAGGGCGGCCAGGCTGCATGCACGCTGCTGGCGGGGCCCAGGGAGGCGCCGGAGGCTTGCGTGTGCGGGCATGCAAGCAGCGCTGCCTCCTGCCCCCTCCCCGCCCGCCCCACGCCTCACCTCCAGGTGGCCGCGCCGCGCCACCACATCCAGCACCGTGCCGCGCATGACGGGCGCCTTGAGCGGCAGCAGGCTGCCCGCCGTTATCTGCGGGAGGCGGGGCAGGCGGGGGAGGGCGGCGCGTGGTGAGGAGGGCAGCAGCGGGAGACCGGGCGTGATGAGCGGGGCAGCTGGGCTGGGCTGGGCCAGGTAAGGCAGCCAGCCTACACGCCATACCGGCACCGCGGGGTCACCTGGGAGCAGAAGCCCATGGCGCGCTGGTGCGGCGTGTCTGGCGCCGACATGCACTTGTGCAGCGCGGTGTGGCTGGGCGGCAGGTCGGCGGGGATGACGCCAAACTCGACCGCCGTGTTGCCCTTGACGCGCAGGCGCCAGCGCAGCACGCCCTGCTCGCGGGTGCTGGTATCCGACACCAGCAGCTTGGGGCCCATGCCGGTGAGGCGCACCGAGCGCACGGCGTCGCCGCCTGCGGCGCGGGAGGGGCGGGGCGGGGAGCGGCGGTGTGAGGCGGGGGGAGGATCGGGCATGGGGTGCAGGCCGCGGCGGGTGCGCGCGCGGTCGCATCGCTGTGCCCGGCATGGCCCGCCTGCGCAGCCAGCGCAAGATGCTGCTGCCGCCGTGGGCAGCCATGCAGGCTGGGCTGCGAGCGGGCAGGCTGCCGCCATGCAGCAGCCCGCACTCACCCTCGCTGAACTGGAAGCGGAAGCCGCCTGCCTCGCTGAACTCGCGGTCAAAGCCAGCGCCCGTGGCCTCCTCTAGGTGCAGCCGCTCGCTCCAGCTGCGGTGCCTGCGCCAGGGACAGGATCCGGGGCGGGAACTGGGGCCGCGTCAGTGCCGGCGCGCGGGGAGAGGCGGCGAGGGGCAGCGGCAGAGGGTGGAAAGCCGTGGCACGCGGCCGGCCCGGCCTGACCACTTGACTAGGCACTCTGGCCAGCTAGGCGAGGGTTGCAGCAAACGGCGGTAGCCGAGAAGGTGAAACAACTCGCTGCGTGCCCAAGCGAGGCCCACCGCCGCACGCCGGCCGCTAGATAGCGGCGGGCATGCAGGGGCCGGGGGCGGGCCCGGGCCTCCCCCTCACTGTTTCCAGGCCCCAAAACTGGGCGATCGCGGGCGACGGCCCGCCGGCAGGCCAAGAGTCTGTGCGGCCCCCAGGCGTCCACGCTGCGGGCGCAGGCCCAGCGTGCGGCAGCGCGAAGACCGCGGCGCGGCGGCGTCAGGGGCCCCAGGGACGACAATGCACCAACCTGAAGCGCTGGGCCTGGGCCGGGTCGCCTCCAGCGAGCGCCAGGACTTTTTCGCGCGCTACGTGCTCCAGCAGCGGCAGCCGGCTGCCCGGCTCCTTGCGACTGAAGTAGCTATTGGTCTGCTGCAGCGCCACCAGGCTGCGGGCGTTTAGGCGGCGCAGCACCTCCAGGATGGGCAGAGGGGGGAGTGTGAGGAGCTCCATGCTGTTGTCTCTGAGACTCCGTTGCATGCTAGTCCCGTGTGAAGGCAAGGGGACGAAATAATGGATGGTTTGACACGGGTGGCTGCCTTTGGTCCACGCTGGTGGCTGCCAGCCACAAACGCCGAGGGCCCCGAATCTGGTGCCCCATGGCAGCCGGTCGTCCCAACAACGGACTCCCACTACCGCATGCCAGCTTCTCCAAACGCCCTCGCATCGTTTTTTCCGCGCTCCAGCCCACCGCCATGCATGTTCGAACGGGACGGCAGCGGAGGCCCCGAAGCGCCGGAATAACACATCAGGGAGCATGAGCGAGGGAGAAAAAGGAGAGAAAAGGCCAGCGCAAGAAGCGGGAAGTGGCGCCGCCTCGTCGCCGCCGCCGCCGCCGCCGCCGCCGCGAAGCTGGCGCGGCGTACGCCGGGGGCTACTGCTGCTGCTGCTGCTGCTGCTGTTGCTGCTGCTGCTGCTGCTCCTGCTCCTCCTCCTGCTGGCCGGCCATGGGGTCGTAGGGGCAGGTGAAGCGGAAGCCGCGGCCCTCGTACGCGCCGCCCCGCAGGAAGTGGCCCCACAGCTCCTCCTTGGTGGTGTAGTGCCTGCGTGGGGCACAGCCGGGCAGGGGCGCAGCCAGCGCGGTGAGCAGAAGACAGGCGGGTCGCATGCTGCCGCCTTCCTGCTCGTAGCAGCGCACTGGCTGCACAGCTGCATCGGTGGCGTTGTGCGCACGCCGCGGCCCGATGCTCACTTGAGGTCTGGGTTTTGTTGGAGGTAGTACTTCTCGTCCCAGCAGTCGGGGCCACGGACCTGCGCAGGCACAGCCACCAGGGGCAGCATTACAGCAGTGGGAATGCGTGCTGCATGCTCGGGCGAGAGTCCGGCACCGGCAGTGCACACACAGCACACGACGGCAGCCCCAGCGCCAGCACACGGCGCCGCGCCTGCACCCACGCCCACCTGCATCCACGCCAGGCGCGGGTAGCGGAAGGGCTTGGGGTCGTCCCGGTACACGTTGCTGACAACATCGGGCTTGCCTGATGCCTGCACGCATGCCACATAAGACAAGGGTCAGGGTCCGCCAACAGGGCAGCGAAGCGGGGTGGCTCTCCGTAGGAAGCACCCCCCTTAAAGGGCAGCCAGCTCTGGTAGGCAAGCATGTGCGCAGGCCAGCTCCCCAAGCCCCCCGTCTCGACCATCCGTGCCTCCTGCACTCCCAGCGGCATGCGCCCTGCCTGCCCCCCCAGGCCGCCCCCCACCTGCGCCTCCATCCACTCTGTGTACTTCTTGGCCTGTACCGCAAACGACCAGTCGTTCTGCACCACCCGCTCCTTCACCTGCATGGGGCGGGGAGGGAGAGGGAGAGGGAGGCGGGCTGGCGGGTGAGGCCATTGCACGTGCACGCGCATGCGGGTGGGGAGCACAGCGCTGGGACACCTGGCATCCGCAAGGGGGCAGGCAGAGATGTGCCACGCATCTTGCCAAGCACGCGCAGCCCAGCCTGCTTGCCTTGACAAACAGGACTTCAAAGGGGTTCAGCGACACGCCGTCCAGGTAGTTTTCGCCATACGGGTTGGCCCTGGCAGGCAGGGTGAGCACGGGGCAGGTTTGGAGCGCGGGGCAGCCGAGGAAAGCGCGGGTGACGGCGCTCGGAGGGCACGGGGTAGGGCCGACAGCGGCAGGGCACCCACACACGCGCAACCACACGCAGATCGGTCGGGGTGGTGGTGAGCCAGCAAGCCAGCAGCCAGGGCATGCCGCTACCGGCGCCAGATCACAGGCCGGTACCAGCAGGCAGCGGCTCACTGCTTGTTGCACCGCCAGTTGTCCTTGTCCAGCCAGTCCACCCCCTGGTACCGCATCATGAAGCTGTCCAGCCCAAACCCTATGGTACCACGGCAGCAGCAGCGACGGGCGGGCAATGGAAAGTGAGCGGCTCCGGGAAACGCAGGAAGGGGCAGCAGCACCGCCGGGCGCAGCCTTCCGGCCAGCGTGCCGGCAGCAGCGCAGCACCCCTCCACGCCCTCCCAGAGTCGCCGCCGCCCATGCCAGGCTCACCTGCGTTGAGCAGCGCCAGGCTGCTGCCCAGCTCCCCGTGCCAGATGACATCCCACATGCTGGTCCAGCAGGTGAACACGTTGCCGTCACGCACCCACACATCCAGCCCCACCTGCACCCGGCGGGCGGCAGACGTGAGAGAGGCAGGCAGCGGCGGCAGCAGGCGTGCCGGCGGGCGCAGCAACAGGGAGGCACTCGACCCGCGCGCCATAACCCTGCTGGCACGCATGGCACCGCCTGGCACAACCCAAGATGCTGGCTGCCGCTGCCGCCAGGCGTGCCTCCACCTTGTCTGTCGCCAGCACATACGACTGCACGTGCGGGTTGGTGCGCCACTCGCCCTTGGGGTTGCCCTGCCAGGGCGAGCCCTCGCAGCTGCAGCGCGCGTGGCGGCAGGGAGCGGCGCTCGCCTTCGGGGGGCGGCAGCAGGCTGGGCAGCGGCAGCCCTGGCATGCTGCATGCTGTTCCTCATTCCGTAACCGAAGCCCCTGTCGCCCAGCGACACACACACACACACACACCTGATGGTGGGCCCCACCAGCTTCACGTGGTCTGACAGCTTGTTGAAGAACAGGTCGTGCCAGCGAGTGCCGCTCTGCAGGCGTAGAATTGCAGGCGTGCGGGTGGTCAGGGCAGGCAGGCAGGCAGGCAGCCGCGGCCTGCTGCACCCAACATCAAGCAGCCCATATGAGGCACCGCAGCATTGCAGCAGCTGCAGCAGACACAGCAGCCGCAGCAGCAGCGGCTGCCGCAGCACCCCAGCCAGTCCAGCCATGGCTGGCCAGCCGGCCAGGCGGGGGCACGCACCCGCGCGTAGGGCGGGATGAAGGGCCCCCGCACGCTGGAGTTCATGAAGATGAAGAACTTGTAGTCCTGGTGGTGGCGCACACACGGGGAGCGGCAGTATGAATAACGGGAGGGTCAGCAGAGTGTGTGAGGGCGGCAGAGGGGTGGGTGGCCGCGCCGCCGCCGCCGCAGCCGCCTCACCTCTGCATTGACCTGGCCGCTGGAGAAGACCCAGCCGATGGTGCCCCAGTCGAAGCACTCATTCTTGTGGAAGACGTAGCGCGCGTTGGTGGGCAGAGCCGGCAGGTCAGGCTTCTGCTCTCGCAGCGGCAGAGAGAGGCGGCAGGTGGACGCAGCGGGTCGCAGGTTGGTGACAGCGGCTGGTGGTGGTGGCAGGAGGGTGGCCAGGCCCGCGGCTTGCAAAGGTGGGAGGCGCCAGCACCGGCAGCGGCGGCAGCGCTGGTGCGCAGGCCGGCATCAGCCCACGCGCAGCACACAGGCCCATCATCCAGCAGCACCACCCAGCAGCAGCACCACGGCAGCAGCGGCAGCACCCACCGGCTGGCCCTCCTGCTCCTGCACCACAATCACGTAAGTCACGCCGTCGTCTGCCGCCATGCCAAACTTGACGAAGAAGTTGAGGTTGTTGAGGTACTCGGGGTCGGTGTTGGAGAAGACGTAGACCAGCAGCGTGGGCGCCCAGGTGCCGTCGGGCAGGCGACGCTTGTCGACGGGCAGCGAGGGGGCGGCGGCGGCAGCGGCGCCGCCGCGGCGGAAGGAGGCGCCCCGCTGCGGCGTGGCGCTCCAGATCAGGTGGCCGGTGGTGAAGGCCCAGACGCACAGCAGCAGGCCCCCCACAACGGCAAGGCTTGAGATGGGGGAGCTCCTCCGCCGAGGGGCGGGCCGGGGCGGCTCTGCGCGGGTGGGCAGCACTAGCAGCGGATCGACATCCCCATCTGGCGATTGCCTGGCGCCCGTTCGCCTGTACATCGATCTGTTTGTATGTATCAACGCCGGCAGCTGCAGGCGGCCATGGTGAATGCAGGATGACGATGGAGCGATTGGGAAATTGAACAAGCATCGGTTTGAGCTGGTTTGGGCCGAGGAGCCCTCATCGTTGACACGTGGCCCGGCAGCATGCTGGAAACCTATAGCTGCGTTGCCCCGAGGCTCTGTTGTGAATAGGCAGGTGTGTGGCTGCGGCAGGAGCCACTTGCAGCCCGCCCCCGTCCCCGCCCGAGGAGGAGAGGACGCCTTCCGCTTCCGCGGCGTGATCCAGGGCACTAGCCGCTCGTTGGAAACAGGTGGGTCCTGCCGCAGCGCGCGATGGCAGCGGGGCCGCGGTTCGCCTGCTCGCGTTCAAGGCTGCCGGGCTTTTCACGGCCTGCGAGGCCCCTGGTCGCCCTCACCTGGCGGTGGCGGGCGCCTGGAGCGCCGCAGATACACGCTGGGGACAGCCCGACTGTAGCGCCGCGCCCCTCCCGCCGCCCCGCACTCCCGTTCCCTTGCCTGCACGCCTTCTGGCTGTGCTCCGCGATGCGTCTCTCCCCCACCGTGGCCTCTGCTGTTTGCCACCGAGGCAGCCGGGCTGCCGGGGCCGTGCCCAGCCCTCTCCCAGCCTCCTTCCCTGCGCCGTTGCCGCCTGCCCCTACGCCACCTTGCAGCGCCCCCACCATGACCACAAAGGAGCAGCGGTACGCCAAGATGGAGCTGCGCGGCAGCTCCTACAACCGCCACTGGAAGACAGACCTGAAGATGGCCACCTGCGCCGACCCGGGATGTGAGCGGCGGCGCCGGGGCTGCCGCACACCGCCGCAGGACGCCGCCCTCCGCCGCCCCCAGCCCCGCTCGCTGCTGCCCCCCGCCTGTCTTTCACGGGCGGTGCCGCTGTGCGCCGGACTCCTTGCCCACCCCTGCAGTCTGCTGCGTGTCCGCCTTCTGCTCCTGCTGCGTGTCTTACCACCTGCGCAAGAGGGTCCTGCGGGGCGACATGTCTCGGTGCGCTGCGGGGCCCGCACGGCGGCGGCAGCCCGGGGGCAGGGGGCAGGCACCACGGTCCGGCAACACTGGAGGCAGGGTGCAGCTGCCCAATGGCGCCGGGCCGGCGTATCAGCAGCTGGCCTGCGTGCCGGCGGCGGTCAGCCTGCGTGCCAGCACCATCGAGGCTGCCCCCCCTCCTGCCTGCAGCTACCTGTGCTGCAACGGCGACTGGCCCTGCTCCGGCCGCTGCGGCGAGCAGTCCTCTCCTGAGCTCTGCCTCTGCCTGGAGGTGCGGCCGCCAGCCGGCAGCCAGCCAGCCCTCCTGCTGGCCGTGTTTTTGCGGGCACAGCCTCCACATCCCCCCGCATATGCCCCTACTGCCTCTCTCACTCCCCGTGCCTGCCTCTTGACGCGCCCGTGCTGCAGGTCTCCTGCTGCTTTGCCCAGAGCGTGGCCTCCACCCGCTGGGCCATCCAGGACGAGATGCACCTGCAGAACACCAAGTGCGACAACTGTGAGTGGTGGTGGGTGGGTGGGGGGCGGGAGCAGGTGCCTGGGCGGTGCCTGGGCAGTGCCTGGGCAGTGCAGGGCCGGATCGCGTGCACTGTCGGTTCCGCTGCATGCCGCGCTGATCCGCTGGCTATGCCCCTGCGCCCCCTGCGTGCATCTGCAGGCATCATTGGCACGGTAAGCGAGCTCGCGCAGTGGCCGGCAGCGCGTGCTTGCCGGGGATGGGCGAGGCGCGCCGAGGCCGCAGCGCGGGCATAGCCCATTGCCCGCCTCGCCCCCCAGGGCTGGCTGGGCCCTGCCTGACGATGATGTCCCCCTGCCCCCTGCCCTCCCGCCACCCCTGCATGCATCAGATGATCTTCGCCCAGTATCTTGCGTGCATCTGCTGGGTGAGCAGCTGCTGCCTGTGCTGCTTTCCAGGCAGGGGGGCCGACGCGGCGGCCGGCCCTGGTCGTGGCATTGCCGCCGGTGGTGCACCCCTGGCAGCCCGCCAACCCACCTTTGCCCCGCCTGCTCGGGGCACGTTTCGCTCCCTCCCACCGTCCCCTATGCACACACACTACACACACACACACCGCCTCCCCCGCCTCCATGTTCTGCCCCGCAGCTGGCCGCCTGCATCTCCGGCAACGACGTGCTGAACGACCTGGCGCAGCTGACAGACATGATCGCCGACATCCTGTGGTGCTCGTGAGTGGGGCGGGGCCTGGCCTGCCGCTTCGTAACTTGTTTTGCTTGTTTCAGGAATCACACACCCGAGCTGAGCCGTCCCCTGCCCCCCTTCCCCGACCTTTGCAGGGTGTGCGCCTGCATGCAGACGCAGCACAAGGTGCAGCTGGATGAGCGCGACAGGTGCGCGGGCGGCTGGCGGGGGTGGGCGCCGCGAGAGGGGGCAACGCCGCTACTACCTGCTGTCGCCACAGGCCCTCGCTTGTCTCCGCTGGCCCAGCACCCTCCCAACTAGCCTCCCGACATTCCCTTCCCCCCTGCCTCCCCCACCACTGCGCCCGCCCCGCAGCAACCCCTCCATCGTGGTGGCACCCTACGCCGCCCCCGCCCCCCAGGCCATGCACCCCGGCGGCTACCCGCCGCAGCCCGCGCCGGTGAGCGGGCAAGGCCCGGGGGGTGTTGGGCCTCGGCAGCAGCGCAGCGCTCCGCTTCAACGGCCAGGCTCATGCTGGCCGCGACCTGCCTCTCTGCGCTGCCCTCCCGCTTGGTGGGAGGCTTCAGCTCTGACTGCCTTCCTGCCTGCTGGGCGCCTCCCTCCCTCCTTCCTGCCCCTTCCTGCAGTACGGCGCCGCCCCGTACGGTGCGCCGCCGCCCCAGCAGGGCATGTACCCTCCGCCGCCTCCCCAGGTGCGCACCCTGCATGCGCCGCTGGCTGTGGTGGATGCATGGGAGGAGGCATGCAGTGCTCGCGCACGCCGCTGCATCGCTCTTGCCCCCTGCACTGCTGACAGTGCCTGCTGCGCTGCTGCTGCTCCCGTGTGGCAGTACGGCGCCCCGCCCCCCGGCGCCTACCCGCCGCCGCCGCAGGCCTACCCGCCGCCCCAGGGCTGGGGCAAGTGATGCGGTCGAGCTGCGGGCAGGTGCAGGCTGGCCCCCAATCGCTGCCCGTCAGCGCAGCAGCTAGAGAGTGTCTGTGTCTTCGCGTGATTGTCTGCCTCCTGCAATCTCAACCCCTGTCTACGGCCCTCTTTCGAGATGTGCCGCCGGCCACCCATTGGCGCGGCTTGCGGCCTGTTTCACAGCAGGCCTTGTTCCATGAGAGAAGAGAGCTTGCTCTTGGCAATGCGTCCCCCCTTAGCACTGTAAGCACCGATTCCCCACGTGGGTGTGCCCCAAACACCAGCAGCCCTGGTTGGCATTGGCAGCGGCGGGAGCGCGCCAGGCACGCTGTGGCTGTGGCTGAGCATGGGGCCAAGGGATGCCATTATGTGCACACATAATTCTAGCGCGGTCGGTACATCTACAGTGTTCTATTTTCAATCCCCCAGCGTCTCGCTGACCTGCCGAAGTCATGGCACACTCGTGTGTGCACTTCAGCTCGACTCCCGCGGCCCAGCCACGCACATGCGGCGTCGTGGTGAGCCAGCAGGGCTGCTTGATGATGTCGGCGAGGGTGCAGGCTGGTGGATTGGTTGGGTGCAGGCGTCCGCCGCCGCCGCCGCCGCCGCCGCCGCCGTGGGCCCTTTGTTGGGTGAGCGCTGCACTCACCCACGCCGCCATGCTTTGCTTCCTGCAGAGGCAGCAGCTAGCGCAGCCCCCACGAGCACACGATAGCGCCTGCCATCTGCGGCAGGATGGCCCCGCGCTGGCGCAGCCCACGGGCCCCTCCCGGTCCGCCCTGCTCCGCCTCGCCCTGCTGGCGGCATCCGCCACGCTGCCGCCGCTCGGCGCGCCGCACCCGGCCCACGCGGCAGCGGCGGCGGCGGCAGCCCTGCCGCCGATACGTCCCGCAGCCGCGGCAGCAGCCGCGGGAGGGCCGCGCAGCTCGCTACTGCTGGACCCTCAGCTGCTGCCGATGCCGCCAGGCCCCATCGCCTTCCCTCGCCGCCAGCTGGACCTCAACTTTGCGGTGCTGCTGCTGCGCAGCGGGTACGAGGCCTGCGACGACCTGGACTTTGTGCCCATGGTGAGTGGCAGGCCATGAGGCGGGCACGGCGGCTGGGACAGAGGCGGGCACGGTGGCGGCGGCGGCGGTGGCGACTGCAGGGCTGCCCGTGGGTGGATGGGCGGCGGGCGGCGGCCTGCAGTAGTTCAGGTGTTGGCCCGCTCGCCTGCACCCGCCCGTGTGCCACAGGTACATGCGCCCGCCCCTCCCCTGCTGTGCAGGACGAGTTCCAGAAGCGGTGTGTGTGTGTGTGGTGTGGAGGGAGGAAGGGTGGTTGTGCCCTGAAGGGAGGAACTGTCAAGGTGCTGGCGGGAGGGTGAGGGTGGCCTCCACACCGGGGCGTGGCAGCCCTGCGCTGCTGCCGGCTCAGCTGCAGCTGGTCCCCTGCCCCGATGCCCCCTCCCAGGTTCTGGAAGCTGCGGCAGTCGGAGTGGGAGCCCTACCTCCTGCTGCACTCTCCGCTGCGCATCCTGCAGGGCCAGCTGACCGACCCTCTGTACTGTGACTTTATCATCTCATGCCAGGCCTTCACAGCCAGCGCCGCGATGCGGGAGGGGAGGCAGGTGGGGCCGTGGCTTGGATGGGTGGGGGCGGGGCGGGCTTACGGGAGGCGTGGGGACGCGAGGAGGCAGCGGCGCACCTGGCGGCGATGCGGCAGTAGCCTGGCACGCACCTGCCCTCGCTCCCTGCCCCCGCTTCCTGCCCCCGCTGCCATTGGGTTCCAATGCACCTGCCCAAGAGTGCCCTGCCTGGCCCTGCCTGCTGGGCATGCCCCCAGGTGTTTGAGGAATATGATGAGGAGAGCGAGGCGAAGCGGTTGGTATCGCGAGACCCCGCCCTGTCTGACAACGCGCTGCTGCCGGGTGCGGCGCTGCCCCCGGGCTGGCGCGGCAGCGCCGCCTGTGCCTGCTGGTATTCGCGTCCCCCGCGCTTCAGTCGCTGCAGCTGCGAGCCGACGCAGCTGCCGTCCTTCCCGCCTGCCTGCCTGCCTGCCTGCCTGCCTGCTGAGGTGTGACCCCAGCCCCTACTGTGCATATTGCACACCTAACGCTCGCCGCCACCTGCAGAGCGGTACTTTGAGAGGCACGGCGAGCTGATCTACCGCGGCCTGGTGGAAGGGTTCAGGGGGGAGCAGTTTGGGGGGCCGCCGCCCTGTGCACCAGGTGCGGCCATGCATGAGCAGCAGCCGCACACCACCGGGGGATGGTGGTGCTGCTGCTGCTGCCGCTGCTGCTGTGCCTTGAGAAGGGAGCTCCGAGCTTCTTGAGTGCAACAAGGCCGTGCTGCCTGCTGCAGGCGCCTCCTCTCAAGAGCTGCTGGCGGGTGTGCAGCGCCTGCTGGACATTTTTGTGGCCAAGGGGTTTGCGCTGAAGGCCACCCTCACTCCCCACACCAGCAGCGGCGGCGGCGGCGGCGGCGGTTTCACAGTTCGGCTAGACGGCCCGGCCAACCTGTGGAGCCTACAGGTGCCACCCAGTGGGAGGGTGGAGCCTGCAGTTGTTGCCTCCAGCCGCAGCACCACCACCAGCAGCCACCTATGCACACTGAGAATCAGCAGAGTCCAGCAGCTGGTGCCTGCCCCCCGGCGCCATCCATGCCCCCTGGCCCACACCGCCTGCCAGCTGCCCCTGCCCCTGCGCGCCGCTCTGCAGGCGCTGGCGGCGCGCCGCTCTTCCGTGTACCAGCAGCACGATGCGGCGGCGGTGGCCGCCTTCCTGCGGGCCAGCGGGCGCAGCAGCAGCTGCCGCCTGGCCTGGAGCGACACGGCGGTGACGCAGGAGTGGAGCCTGCAGGCCTGAGGCGGCTGGCTGGCCTTGCGCCTGTTTACAGGGACCCGCTCTGTCGGGAATAGGGTTTTTAGGGTTTAGGTTTCCCTTAAGTGACTTTAGGTTCCTTGCACTCTACTGTAAGTCACAGTGCATTAGCCATGTAGACCAGCCCCTCCTGGTCGGTGACGGAGAAGAGCTGGGAGCAGGGCCCCGCGGCGCCCAGGCAGCACGCCCGCACCGCCGCGGCCGGCTCCCGGAACAGCAGCCGCGGCGCCGCCCCCGCCGCCGCCTCCCGCAGCACTCCGATAGCGCCGCCGGCGGTGCAGAACACCAGCCGCCGGCTGCCACTGCCGATGCCGCCCGCGCCCTCAAACCGCACGTCGCACACAGCGGCGGGGACGTCGCCGGGGCCGCCGCCGCCCACAGAGCAGCACGTCACCGCCGCTTTCTGCGCCGCCGCCGCCGCCGCGGCGGTGCCGGGGCTGGCTGCAGCAGCAGACCCTCCAGCCCCAGAGGAGGAGGCGGCGCGGAGGTCCCACACCGCCACGCCGCCGTCGTCCCCTCCTGTGGCGCAACAGAAGTGCTGGGCGGGGTGCACGTCCAGGCAGGTGATGGCGGGGGCGGGGGCCGCCAGGCCCAGCCCCGCTCCCGCTGCCGCCGCAGAGCCGGCTGCCGGCTGCAGGAGCTGCAGGGCTGGGCGCCCCGCCTGCCGCGCATCCCACACGTGCACCAGGCCTGCGGGGGCAGGAGCAGGAGGCAGGAGCGGGGTCAAGCGCGGAGGCGGCGGCACACTGGGCGAGCGCCCATGCGGCACAGCAGCGGCAGTGCGGACCCGCGCGGTAGCGCCGGCTGCCGGACAGCTTCACTCGACAGCCTGGCTGGCCCCGGCCCCGCCCCACGCCCCACCTTGCAGGCTGCCGGTCACTGCCGTGTGCGGCCCATTCCAGCGCGCCGCCGCAAAGGTGACGGCGCCGGCACTGCCGTACAGCCGGCTGCCGGCGGTACCGTCGCCCGCCTCTAGCGGGGCCAGGGCCAGGCTGCCGTCGGCACCGGCGCTCAGCAGCTCGCGCCGGTCTGCAAGCAGGTGGGGTGGTCGGCGTGTGGAGAGGGCACAGAGAGGGCTGGCGCTCGGAAACCCACAGAGCAGGGCGGTGCTCAGAGAACAAGGCAACACCAGGCGGCAGATGGGGTGAGGACCCTGGGCAGGAGGCAGCACCAGGGCACGTTGGTCCGGGCAGCCATGCATCCCCCCAACCATCACCAACACACACACACACACACACACGGCACGCCAGCCCTACCTGGGTTGGCGGCCAGAGCCGTCACGGCGCCGGCGTGCGGCTCCAGCCAGGGCAGCAGCAGCGCGCCGTCGAAATCCTCCTCCCTCAGCTGCAGGCGGGGAGGGGCAGGGGAGGGGCAGGCAGGGCAGAGTGCGTGCGTGCTTAGCACAGGCAACAAAGAGCGCAGCACCAACCGTGTCCACAGCGCAGCCCGACACCGCACATAAAGCGGTGAACCAGTGATGCCCTGCTGCCCGATGCAGAGCGTAACAGACGCCCTGAACACCACCACCGGCAGCAGCCACCACCACCACCACCACCACCACCGCCGCCGCCGCCATCTGCCCCGCCCACCTGGATGTCGGCGGGCAGGGAGCCGGGCTGGGTGGGCACCTGCAGGCGCAGGCGCGCCACGGCGCCGTCGCCAGACCCCGCCAGCACCAGCACCGCGCCGCCGCCGCAGTCAGCCACCTGCAACGGCAGCAGCAGCCGCAGAGGCAGGGTCTGGAGGCAGGCTAGTGATAACTCCCACAGGCAGCAAGTAAGGTGGCAGGGCGGTGCAGCCACAGCAGCGCAGTGCCTGCCGCTGGGCGGCTGCGGCGCGGCAGCCCACAGCCGCCCCACTCGCCTCGAGCGCCGCCACGCGGCCGCGGTGCTGGAAGGATGCGAGGCGGGCCATGGCTGGCTGCCGCACAATCTCGTCCCCGCTGTGGCCCACAGCCAGGTCCAGCAAGGTCAGGCGCGACTCCTGCACAGCAGTGTGGCAGCCAGTGTGTGGTGGGACGCGCAGGAAAGGTGTAGAGAGTGGGCGAGCGCCACCTAGCCCGGCCGCTCTTCCTCCACAGTCTACTGCTCCCGGCTGCCCCTGCATGCCCCACCCACCAACCCACCCACCCACCCACCCACCTGCGCGTCCTGGCACCACGTGCCCAGCGCCAGCAGGTTGTGCGTGGTGGCCACGCCCTCCTCAGCAGCCCCCGCCGCCGCAAACGGGATGCCCGCCAGGCACGAGGCCTGCTCTGCCAGGAAGTGCCGGCTGAGAAAGGGCTTGCCCATCGCAGGCCGCGCTCGGGGGGCTGTGCCAAGGGGCTGCAGGGTCAGCGGCAGAGGGCAGGGAGCACAGGCAGCGGTGGGCGGGGGAGAAGTGGCAGCGGGCGGCGGCGGCGACGGCCAAGCGGCCGGCTACCTGTGCTGGGCGGGGATCGAGCTAGATCGCCTCAGCGAACACTTGGCTGCAAGAAAAGGGACAGTTGGCAGCGCCGGAAGTAGAGCAGCAATTGGGATGGCCATTGCGCCGCTATCGGGACGCTGCTGCGTGCGGATCGAGGGATCGCGCATCCTGCATATTGATATCAACCGGCCGCCACGCCTCACCTGCAGCGATGGTGCTGGGGATGATCGCAAGGCTTGAGAGCTGAAGGAGAGGAGTGCGAAGGGTGAGGTTGCGGCAGATTCATCCGGCGGTTTGATCCTCATCTGCTGCAAGCAAAGCTGCGCTGCCCGCGTGGCGTCGCCGCTCGCCCGCCTGGTCACCTGTCCAGGCGGCCGATGCTGGCGCGGATGAAAAGGCTGGCTGCAGCTGCCGTGGCGCATGATGGGGATTCCGCCTCGCAGTCCAATAGCCAATGCAACGCATTACATGCCGAGGCACACATGCCAGTCACTGCTGCCAACCACCCGACAGCATCGACAGGTGGACCCAGGCTGCGCATGCACGCTGCAGCTGTCCCCACGCATTGCTGCTCTGCTGCCTCCCCCCGACGCCAGCCGAGCCCGCCTCCGCCGCATCACTCCAGCATGCGCGTCCAGTCATACGGCTCAAACTGCTTCCTAAACTCCTCCGCCCACTGCTGCTGGATGGAGGGGTTCTCCTGCCGCGCCCGCCGGTGCATGTCCTCCTGAGGCAGGCTCAGCAGGCCTGCAGGGGAAGGGGTGGGGGGCGCGGGCACGGCTGAGAGGTCAGGATGGGTGCCGCCAGGCTTGGGTTAAGGCGAGCGGCGGCTCCAGCGCTGGTGCCAGCAGTGCCATTCGTGCCGCAGCCTGCGCTCGGTCCCCACGCCTGCCACACCCGACCCTCAGCCAGGCGCCTCAGGCACACCTCGCCACGCCAGCCCTCCCCAGGCTGCCCAGGCACCCACCAATCATGACCGAGCGAGCCAGCCCCGGGTCAAACTTCTCCTCATCGTCCACCACGTGCACAAAGCCGTCTGAGATGCCAAACTCGACGTTGAGGTAGGGGAAGTTGGGGGGGACGGAGCCGCGCAGGCCCTGCCGGGAGGGTAAGCGTGCGGGGAGGGGGAAAGCGAGGGTAAAGGTGGGGGTGAAGGTAAAGGCAAAGGTGGGAACGCGGCTGGGTGCAGGGGATGCCACTCAGCGAGTGCATGCGGGGCAGTGGGCTGCTGCAGTAGGGGCACCAGCCCGGTGCTTGAGCGGCGGGGGGCTGCCACCCTCAGCTCAGCAGCCCTCTTGCCCAGATGTATCCCAACCTACCAGATGTATCCGCAGCAGCACCACCATCACCACTGCCACCACCACCACCACCACACAACAGCCTGCACCCCCACACACCTTGGCCTTTGTGTCGATGAAGCGCTTGGCGTGGTGCTGCGCCCACTCGCTGGTGGCATCATCCACCGCCTTTTTGAAGAACATGGGGGCGCGCCCCGCCACTGCAGGCGGTACAGTGTTGCAGGGTGCAGTATTGATTGCAGTACGGTGTTGCGGTGCATGTGTTGCGGTGCGGTGTTGCAGCGCAGGCACCACGGCACAATCCCCCGTAGACGAAAAATAATGGAGGAATGCACCTGCTGCGCCGCTGCGCAATCTGTTGCAGGGGCAACCGAGCAAGGGCCGCTGGCTGCGGCCGCCTGTGACACCCCGCCACCGCCCACCGCCACCACTCAGTCCATCCCCACGCACCCGCGGGCGGCACCGGCACGCACTCCACCACCGCGTGGCTGCGCATGCTGCCAAGGTGCAGCGCTGTCTCGAAGAAGACCACCTCCTGGCCCTGCAGGGGGGCAGGGGTGGAGGATGCGGGCAGGTAGGGAGGAGAGTTGAACAAGCAAGCCGGAGGCAGGAGCGAGCAGGCAGGCAGAGGCAGTCACAAGCAGATGCACGCAGAGGCAGAGGGGTGCAAGAGGCCAAGTACATGCAGCAGCAGGAGAGAGAAAGCTCAGCCAGCCAGCCAGCCAGGCAGGCGCTGCAAGGCGGGCAACGCTCGCCTGCTTCATGAACATCTGGATCAGGCACTTCTTGAAGTTGCGCAGCTCGCTCCACACCTGCGGGCGGGCGGGCCGCAGGGCTGCCACGTCAGCAGCGCCACCTCAGCGCCGCAGCGCCCCGCAGCCTGTGCAGGCGCGGTGCTTGGCAGGTGGCACAAAGCAGGGGCGACCGCCATGCGCTGGCCCTGAATCTGCTACCACACACACTCCTCCACCCCCCTGCCCACCCAACCCACAGTGCCCATGCCACACCCACGCGTGCCCACGCACACACACCGAGGCAGCAGCCCCACCTGCTCGTCCACCTGCCGCGTTGAGGCGACGTGCTCCGCGGGCACAATGACGCAGTGGCCCGGCACCAGGCGGCCGCGGGCGGGCAGCGCCAGGTAGGAGGACTGGCCGATGGCGACGGCCAGGTGGCGGGGGCGGGAGGCCGAGGAGAAGCACAGGCGGCACTTCTCCTGCGGGGGAGGAGGGGCCGGGGGGGCAGGCAGGGGCTTGTGGAGGGGCGGGGCAGATGCTGGCGTGGCTGGGCGGGAGGCGACCCACAAGCAGCAGTAGCGGTTGTAATGCCGGAGCGGCGCCGCCAGGCCTGAGCGGAGCCCAGCACCGCCAGGGCCGCAGCCACCTGCCCTGCCAGCCCTTTGATCAAAGCGGTACCGTCCGGTACCCTCACCAGCGCCGAGTTCATGCGGTTGTACTCCCGTATCTGGCGCTGCTTGTCGCGCTGCTGCTGCCCCTCCCTGCCCTTCTTGCCCGCCCGCTTGTCCAGCATCTCCAGCCCCGCATCGTGGTCGTACTCAGCATCTGCGGGGAGGGGGTACGGGCAGTACGGCGTGCAGTGAGCGGTAAGAGCGGGCAGCAGGGTTTGTGAGGCTGTACAACCGCACAAGATGGTGGCGCGAAGCAGGCAGGGCAGCCAGCATGGCGTGCCAGCAGGCGCAGGGGGACCAGCCAGAGGCGCTCGGTGGCGCGTATGCCGCCGAACCCTAACCCACCAGCCACGCCAGCCACACAAGCCACACAAGCTCCCCACCCCCACACAGCCTGCAGCCTCATCAGGCGCCCCCCCCCACCTGGGTCGTAGTCTGCCTGCTTGTACCGCTGGCTGCGCGTGATGCCAGCCGCCAGCCGCGCATCGATGTCGCCCTCGTCGCCGTGCTTGGTGCGCTTCATCAGCGTCTGTGGCGTGGGCGGAGGGGTGGACGGCGGTGGCGGCAGCGAGCGTGATGTGTAGGGCTGGGTGCAGATGCGGCATCCCCACCACCCACCACCCACCACCACGGCATCCCTACCGTGCAGGATGCCATCCACCGCACATGCACACCCCAAACACCCACCACCACCACCACCAGCCAGCTGCAGGTATGTGTCGCCATTACCAGGAACACACACACACACACACGCGCGCGAACGACAGACACCCAGGCAGCGCAGCCGCCCCTTCACCTGCAGGTCTGTGTCGTCGTCGTCGGCAAAGTATTTGGAGCGCTCGCCGCCCTCGTACCGCTGCACTCGCTTCTGCTTGCGCCCTGCTGGCGGGCGGGCAGCCGCGTGCGCGGGCAGGGCGTGGGCAGAGGTGGGCTGGCAGCGGGGCGGGCAGGTGGTCCAGGAGCGTGCATGCAGGAGGCCGGCGGCGGCGGCCAGGAGCACCAGCAATGCAAGCCCAGCGGCCACCTCCCCCGACCTCCCACATACAGGCGCACACACATACACACAGAGACATACACAGATACACACACAGACAGGCGGAAGCAGGCCGATGTAGGCATACACAGAAACAGATGCAGATGCACACAGATACACACACACACACACACACACTGCACAAGCACCCACCTCCGTCGAGCAGGCCTGTCCCTGCCTCCTCCCGCCCAAAGGCGCCCGGCACCGCCCTGCCCCGGGCATCCACCTGAGGCAGAACAACAGTCTCGCGCTCAGGCGGCGCTGCAGGCAGGAGGGCGGACAGGGGGGCAGGGTGAGCAGGTTGGGGGGTGAGGGAGCAGGGAGAGGCGGGCTGCTGCAGGGTGAGCTGGCACGGGCGGCGGACGAGGCACGGCAGGCATGCCAGCAGCAGAGGGCAGTGCAGTGCAGTGCAGGGCAGTGCAGGGCAGGGCAGGGCACGCACCCTGGGCCTCTGGTGGCGGAGCCTTCCCCGTCAGCCTCGCCCGCAGCATGGCCGCAACCGACAGGTTGTTAGCGCCGCCGCCGCCGCCGCTGCGCGCAGCCGGCCGCTGCTCGCCGCCGTCGCCTCCGCCTGCCTCCGCTGCTGGCCCTGCTGCTGCCGCTGCGGGGCGGGCCGCCAGGCTGGCCCTCTCGGCCGCCATGGCTGCCGCCGCGCTGGGGCGCTCCTGGCGCCGCTGCGCCTCCCTTGCTTCCTCGCTGTCGCTGCCGCTGGAAGCTGACGGCTGCACCTCTGCGCCCGCCCCGGGCCGCTCCTCCCCGCCTTCTCTCCCACCCTGCTGCTGTTGCTGCATCGCCTGGAACTGATCCATGAAGGAACCGTCTGCCTGAAACTGGTTGAGCTCTGCCGCCGCAGCCTTGAGAACGGCGGCGTCCTCGTGGCGACCAAGCGGGTCCCTCGCCGGCCGCCGCCGCCCCTCTGCCTCCTCCCTGCCCCGCGCCGGGCGGTCGTCCCGCGGCCGGTCGCCGCGGTGCTGCTCCCGATCCCGCCGCCGCTCGCCAGCCTCGTCCTCCCGCCGCCTGTCCCTGTCACCGCCGCCACCGCGGTCGCCGCGGTCGCCCCTGCGCTCCCCTTCCCGCCGCCTGTCCCCGTCGCCACCGCCGCGGTCGCCCCCGTCCCGCCGCGCGCCAGGCGGCCCGCCCTCCTGCCGCCGCTCCCCACACTCGCTGCCGCGCCGCCACGACAGGCTGCCCGCCTCGCGTGGCCGCTGCATTTGGCTGCGCACGCTCTTCATCTCTGCAGACGGTCCAGGTGGCAGCAAGCCCACTCAGGGCAGGCACATGAGAGGAATTGAAGACAACGGGCAGGCTCCAGCCGCCACCCAGCGGAGGGCAGAGTAGGGCTGCAGCAGCCAGGGCCCTACTTTAGAAGAATTAGAAGAATTAAGAAAAGAAGAAAGGAAGCAACCCCGCCATGCTCTGCACGCTGCGTCTGCCACCTCACCCGACAGGTAAGCGGCCTTGTCGCCCTCCCGTCCCTTGCCCCCCTTCCCTCCCTCGCCACCGCCGCCGCCCTCCTCGCCCTCCCGCATGCGCCGCCGCTCCGCCTGCCTCGCCCCAAACTCGGGGTCGGTGGCGCGCCGGTCCCTAGCAGAGTGCAGGTGTGCCATGCCTGCAGGCAGCGAAGCAGGGCGAGCGATGAACGTGCAATGCTGGGCACGCTGGGAGCGACAAGTTACGGCAGGTAGGCGGAGCAGCTTGCACCCGGCAGCGGGCCCCATGCTGCGGCAGCCGAGGGGCGGCCTGGGCACGACAGGAGGCAGGGAACCGAGCTTCACACGCCCTCCTGGCAGCCAGCACGACAGGAGGCAGAAACAAAAGACGGCTCCACACGCCCCCTGCTGGCGGCCCACTGACCGTGCGCCGCCCGCCGCCCAGCCGTGAGCCCCCCAGTCAGCTCAGCCAGCGACCCAAACCGCTCAGACACCACTTCATTCAGCTTCTTGCCCTGCAAGCGGCAGGGGGAATGACGGGTGAGCGAGGGAGTGGTGGGAGGAGTTTGGAGGAGGCTGCAGTGTGGAGGCAGAAGCACAGATGCACTGAGGTGTTGCAGCAGCAACAGCACCAGCAGCGGCAGCGCCCTGCAGCGGGTGGCCCGCCAAGCAGCCGCCGGCATTTCCAAAACGGGAGCAGCGGCAGCGGCAGCGCCAGACCCAGCCCCAGCCCGCAGCCCGCAGCCCGCCGCACCTCCTGCTCCGCCTGCTGCTGCGCGCGCTTGAGGGCCTTGAGGCGCCAGCTGGCGCCGCCGTCGCCAATGCCCGCCGCGGGGCGCACGGGCGGCGCCCCTGCCGCGGCGCCCTCCCCGGGCACGCCGCTGCCTCCGTCTTTGAAGTAGGGATTCAGCTCTCGCTCCTGTGGATGGTCGAGTGCGCGGCGAGGGAGAGATGCAGCGGCAGGGGTGGATGGCGGAGAGGCGCAGGGTGTGCACCAGACAAGGGCTGCCGGCACAGGCCGGGGTGGCTACTCGTGAGCAGGCGGCTGGCTCAGAGCGCTGCAATCCGGGGTGTTTCGGGCAGGCTGCGCATGCCTGCCCAGCTGGTTAGCTGCTCAGCAATCCACCTGCGACCAGCTGCGCGACACCCCCCACACCCTGCCCCTCACCGACACAAACGGACGGTCGGGGTCCCGCCGCTGCTCCTCCTCCTCCTGGCGCTCCTGCTCCTCCTCCTCTGCCGCCAGCTGCGCGTCTGTCTTGGGGCGCTGCATGGGCTTGGTCATCCAATCCTCCCGCTGCGCCCCGCTCGCCAAGCCTCCCTCGCCGTCGCTGTCGCTGCCGCTGGAAGGGTCGTCCCAGGGCTGGCCGCGCCCGCGCCGTCGCCCGCCGCCTCCCAGCTTGCCGCCCTCGTCGCTGCTGCCACCTCCGCCGCCGCTTGAGGAGTCGTGCTGCTTTTTGTGCTTGGACGACTTCTTCTCCTGCAGGCGAGGTCGTCGAATGGAGGGCACAGGCAGTGGTGGAGCAGCAGCGGCGGCAGCCAGTGCCAGGCGGCAGTGGCGGCGGCGGGTGGCAGGCGGCTGCAGCGGCGGAACTCAGGCTGGGCCGCGCAGCAGCACCCCTTGCCTTCTTGTGCTTCTGTTTCTTCTCCCGCTTCTCCTTTTTGCGCTCATCCCGCGCGAGCCGCTCGGCCTCCGCCCGGTCCACGAGCTTGATTCCCGACAGCATGGTGGGCTGGCCTGCGGGTGCGCCACGAGCCTACGAGCGGCCCCCGCCCGTCCGGCGTGACGCAAGGTGATGGGTTTCAGCCAAGACGCCGCCCAGGCAGTGTGCACGCTCCCTGGGCACTGGAATACTTTGAAGATCAACCGTGCAGCAGCGATGCAGCGCCCAAGAGTGCCCTCGAGGCTGGCAATGGCACAGCACTCTCAGCGTCCCGCCGCCGCCACTCTGGTGCACCATTCGCTGCTGAGAGACGCATCGATGTCTGCACATCAATGCAGCCAGGCAGTATGTGCTGCGTCCTCTTCATGCCAGCCTCGGCCGCCCATCCCACAGCTCAACTGTCTAATGCCGCAAGGCTGGCCAGCCCGGGTGCTGGGCCCGCTTGTGCAGGCCCACCCACTGTTGGGTCAATGTGTTTGGACTATTACAACTCCACAATATGTGCATGGTCCAAAGAACGCAGCAGGGTGACCGGCGACCCATCCTCCCTCAACTCACAATCCTGCTCTGCTCCGCTGCCGCGCTGCCGCCGCCGCCCTCCAAATCTCCCGACCGCCGCCTGCTGCCGCCCCTCGCCGCTGCAGCTGCCCCGGCCTCCTCCCCGGCAGGCCACGGCGCCTCTGCAGCTGCAACCCCATCCACACCCTTCCTCAGCAGCGACTCTCTGTCGCTGCCGCCGCCCTGGCTGCTGCCGCCCGGCATGGCAGCCTGCCGCTCTATGCTGCCGCCGCTGCCGCCCGCTGTGGAGGGGATGGTGGCAGCCACCGCTATGGCCAGCAGCATCAATACCAAGCCGAACACAAAGGGTGCGCCTGCAAAGCGGCAGCGGGTGGAAAGGACGCATTTGAGGGCGGGGCCGCATCAGATCCGCTGTGGGTCGCAGCGGCGCGGCAGGCACAGGGGCCCTCCGTTGTGGATCCTGCCAGCCAGCAGCCCACCCCACACGACCAGTTGGCCACCCGCCTGGGAAGTAGGGCAGCGGGGAGTCGGTCTTTGTGAAGAGTGAGAAGAGGACGGCAAAGAGGAGGGGACCCGTGCCTGAGCAGGGCGGCAGCAGGGGAGGCAGGGTCAGTGCATGCATGGGGTGCCAGGCACAATGGGCAGGTGCCCGACACAGCAAATGTAGGTGGGTGGCAAGCCACATCAGGTATGGCAGGAGAAAGAAAGCGTGGAGGGCCATACCCGAGGCCAGCGCACGTGCGCCGTACAGCGCCCCCTGCACGCTGCCTTGCTCGTGCTCCTGCACACACAAATCACAGGTAGGGCAGCTGGGTGCGGTGCCCGACCAAGGCTAGCGGCCGTGGGAGCACGCCGAGTGTACAGGGGCCGACGCGAGTCCGGTATGCACCGCAGCCGCCGACCGCGGCTTGCCTGTGCGTTGTTGGACTTGATGCTGCTGATAGTGGGGAAACTCATGCTGCCTGCAGGCCGAGAGCAGCAGCAGGCCCTCCAGAAGTGTGACCCGACGCGGCTGCCGAGGCCGTGAGCTGCCCAGCTGGACCCGCCTCCTGCCGACCTTCAGCCTAGCCCATGGACCTGCCAGCCACCAGCAGCACCCCTCGCAGCCCCCGCCATCGGCCACCAGCAGCAGCCCTGGGCGGCAGCCCGCAATCCCACCCGACAACCTTCCCTCGGCAGCCGCCACTCTCGCCCACCCAGCAGCCGCCACTCACCCAGGGAGCCCAGGCCGATGCCCAGGAAGGCCACCCACTTGACCCCCGCCGCCGCCAGGATGACCTGCTGCACGGCAGAGGCCGCCAGCGCCACCAGAAGCACGCGCTGCTCCCCCAGCCAGCTGCAGTGGGGGCAAGGGAGGGAGGAAGGCCACAGCGGGTCGAGTTACACTGGCCGGGCAGGCAGTGGGCAGGCAATATAAGCTGTGCACAGCTTGACCATGCAGGTTACACGCTTCCCCCATCCCGGAAGCACCCCACAGCCCATCTGCCCCAATACGTCGGCCAGGCACCCTGAGCGCTGCCCAGGGCCAGCCCGCCTGGCCTCACTTGAGCAGGGTGCGCAGCAGCAGGGTCTGTACCAGCAGGCCGCAGGCGCCAAAGATCATGAAGATGTGGGACTGTGGTACGGGGGGCAGTACGGGGCGGCACATGATGGGGGCAGGCAGTACAGGCAACACACACAGACGCGGCTCCAAGCGTGCTCCAGCCGCACTGGCTGGCTGCCACACTGCGGCCGCCACATGCTGACAACACGCGACAGACAGCACGCCGCCCTCCTTCAGAGGCCCGCCACGCCAGCCACCCACCGCCCCAACCATTCAGCCACCACCCCAGCCAGCCGCCTCACCACATCCGCCACCCCAAACTCCATCTTCAGCTTCAGGTACTGCACCAGCAGGTCCTGCAGCCCCTCCGACACCACCCCCGTCAGCATCATGCACAGCGTGAGGCGCTTGAAGAGCGGGGAGCGCAGCAGGATGCGCGCCGCGCGCAGCGTGCTCAGCGCCACCACCCCGCCGCCGCCGCCGCCGCCTCCCGAGCTGCCTCCCGGGCTGCCTGGTGCGCCGGGGGCGGCGTCCTGGTGGCGGTGCTGCGCGTGGCACAGGCGTGCCTGTCGGGCAGGGGAGGCGGGGAGGCACCATGAGCAGAGTGGAGCAGCAGCGCGTCTGAAGGCCGGGCAGCTGCCGGCACAGCAGCCCGCCAGCAAGCGTCTCCCCAACACAATCACCACCACCAGTACCAGCCGCGGCGGCAGAGCTGGAGGCAGTCCCCCCTGCCTGCCCTGCCACGCCCCCCCCAGGTCCCCCAAACCCACCGCTGCCTTGGCCCCAGGCGACAGCGATTCTGGCAGGATCAGCAGGGTGTAGGCGGCACAGGCGCCCACGGTGCCAAGGGATGCCAGGGCTGCAGTGACGGGTGCCATGGCGGCGCCGGCGGCTGGGCCGATGAAGATCGCCACGCTGCGGGGAGAGGGGTGGAGGGGAGCACAGGGCACGGCAGGGCACGGCGGGTGGTGTGAAAACGTGGGAGTGTGTGAAGGGGGGTGGCAGGGGCTGGCAGGCGGCGGCGCCGGGACGAGAGGCTGGCATCCAGCGGCCGGGCCGGGCCCCCAGGCCAGTGCCGCCATCCCCCAGCCAGCGGCTCCAGACCAGCGGCATGCACCAACATCCCTCTCTCTCTCTCCACACACACACCCACACACAGTTCACCAACACACACACGATTCACACACACACACACACACACACCACTCTCACCTGAAGATGGCCATGATGAGGCCAAAGGTGGCGGCCCTGTTGGCGCGGCACAGCAGGTCGGCAATGTAGGCCAGCGAGACGGTGACGGAGGAGAGGGAGGAGATGAAGACCTGGGGTGGTGTGTGTGTGGGGTCGGGGGTGGGGTGCAGGGAGCAGGGACAGCTGGGTGAGGTGGCAGGGGGGCGGAGCGGGATGGGTGTGATGAGAGGGACAGCTGGGTGAGGTGGCAGGGGGGCAGGGGAGAGGGTGGCGTGGCGTGGCGTGGGGCGCGTGATGCGGTGAAGGGGACTGTGGGTTGTTGGTTGGGCCACATGAGGGCGGCAGGCTGCAAGGGGGGCTGCCGCAGCCGCCCCGGTGCGGCCCAGCGGTGGCACCGGGGCTCCCAACAAACCCACCATACACGTGCACCGCATAGTACCCACGCAGTACCACTGCACACCTGCACCATGCAGTACCACCACACACCTGTACCACGTAGTACCAGAGCAGGGGCAGGCCCGAGGTGAGGTGCAGCAGCACGATGGCGAGCGGGATGCAGGAGCAGGCCTGCAGTGGGGTGGGCGGTGGGCATGAGGGCGGGTGGGTGTGGCGGCTCCGGCAAGCGATGATCGTGAGACTCAGCACGGAGGGAGGCAGCAACCCCAGCACGGAGCAGGCAGCGGCCCCGGCAACAGCGGCAGCCCCGGAGGCGGCACCGGCCACAGCCCAGCAGCAGCAACCCCGGCAGCAGCAGCAGCGCCGGCAGTGGCAGCGGCCACAGCCCAGCGGCAGCAGCCCAGCAGCAGCAGCGCCAGCGTGCCTGCGACACCAGGAAGAACAGCTTGCGGCCGTGCAGGTCGCTCCAATGGCCCAGCAGCGGCGTCTGCGGGCAAGGGGCAGGCCGATGGTGGGCAGGAAGCGGGTGGGCAGGGGCGTTGCAAAGTGCGGCGTCCACCTGCTGCCGAGAATGCCGGCAGCGGCACCGGGTGCAGCCACCGCTGCATGCCACCGCCGCTGCCGCCACAACTGCTTCTGCCGCCGCCGCTGCTCACCAGCACTATGGACACGAGTGAGTTGGAGAAGAAGGAAGTCCAGGAGCTCCACAGCACAACATCCGCGTGCGCGTCCTGCTCGTGTTTGGTGCCAAGGGGTTGGCGGCGGCAGTGAGTGAGGCTGTGTGTGTGTGTGTGTGTGTGTGTGTGTGTGTGTGTAGGCCGCGCCAGTGAGCAGCATGGGGGATCTCATCGGCGGGGGCAAGCAGCCAGCAGGGCCGATGCGGAGCAGGCCTGCCACCCCAGGGCGCCAGCGACGGGCCGGGCGCAGCCGGCGCGCACCCGGCAGGCCGCGGCGTCGGGCGCGGCGGCATCGGAGGGCAGGCCGTCGCAGTGCAGCGTGTGGCCGGCTCGCCGCTCAGCAAAGTAGTCGGTCATGATGCCGGGGACGTGGGGCACCAGCAGGGTGAGCCCTGCGAGTCGTTGCATGGGAACTTCAGTAATGCATGGGGTACTTCAGTTTCGCATGGGGACAAGTTAACAAAAAGTTCTGGAGGCACAAACTCCTCCATCAGGAAGTTTGGTGCGAGGCGGACAAGACGGAGCGGTGACAAGGCGGGGCCGCGGCAGCGGCTGCCGCCCCACCGCCTCACCAGACATGTAGACGAGCAGCAGCGGGAACAGGCGCCACGCGCGGGTGTCCCAAAGCTCCCGCAGCAGCGGCTGGGCCTCCTGGTGTGGAGGACTGTGTTGGTGGCTGCGCATCTCCGCCTGCCCACCAGCCCGCATTCAGGCGGAGGTAGCTGCCTGTTGATCAAAGCTACAGGGCAGGTTTTGTCAGGCGCGGAACGGCCATGCCACTGGCTGCAGCCCCTGCGCCCAATGCCTCCACCCGCAGAAACGCAGGCAGCAGGTATGCTAAATTTGGAACGGATGTATGGATACGTCCCGCCGCTGCGATCGGGGCAAGAAGAAAAAGAAGAAGCAGAAGAAGAAGAAGAAGAAGAAGAAGAGAATACGCGGGACGCCAGCGGGGCGGGGCGGGACAGGAGCCGCCACTCTCCACAGGCGGCGGCGGCGCGGGGCCTGCGCTTAACGCTTACAACAAGAGAGGTCTTCATCCGAAATGCGCTGCAGAACAGGTAAGGCGAGTCGGCTGATGCTTCCACCCGCTAGCAGGCCCAGGCCGCTGTGTCCTGGCGGCACGACTGCCGCGCCTTGACCTGCTTCCGCTGCAGCAGCGGGCCCTTGTAGCGTGAGGAGGGCACCACCACCACCCTGCAGGGAGCACACACAGGGAAGGAGTGAGCAGGCCGGTTAACATGGCAACAAAGTCAGATCGGTTTCACAGTGGCAGCACCAGCTGCTCATGATGGGGAACAAGCTCTGCCTGCCACTGTCCGACCAACCACGGCCTGGCCCACTCACTTGATGATCTGCCCATCCCGACAGTGCCCCCAGATCTGGCAGCTGAAGAAGAGCTGGCCGGCGGCGGTGGTGCGGAAGGCGGCAACGCCGCTGCTGCGCACCACGCCCCCCACGATGCGCAGCCCGCTCAGCTTGGACTGGTAGGTCTGCTGCGGCAGGGCCGGGCACCTGCAGTGTGGCATGGGGCCGCCAGTTTACTGGTCATGGGCATTGGGCCTACTGGAACGTTTGAGGGCGGCGCTGGCTGAGCCCAGGGAAGGCGAAGAGGCACAGCCCTGGTCGGGACGTAGCAGCCGGCAGAAACCCCAGCGCTCCCTCACTTGAAGGAGGGCAGGCGGATGACGCCATGCGGCTCGCCAGGCCACTCAAAGCGAAGCGTGGCTCCGCACGGCACCACAAACACATTCCCAAACTGGGGCTGCATCTGGATCGTCCAACGCAGCACCAGGCTGCCCGCGGCGCTGCAGCCGGGCACAGCCTGCAGCCGGCGCCGCTGCATGAGTTGGCTGCCGTGATGCCGCCGCCGCCGCTGCTGTGCGGCTGCCGCCGCTGTGCTGCGACAGGCTGCTGCGAGGAGCGCGAGTGAAAGCAGCACATGAATGCAGGATGATTGCCTCCAGCATCGTTCGATCGACATCCTTGCCTGCGTAGCTACGAGAAGCAGCGAGCAGCTGGATAGCGGGCGGTACGCTGGGTGGCAGCCGCGGAGGTGGTGGCAGCGCGGGAGGCCAGGCGCATGCTCCCGCCGATGGGCGGGATCCCGTTGCCATCGAACTTATGGCGTGACCGGCCTCTCACCTTGGCACGCAGCGGGCGGCACTCGTCAGCTCGCGAGTTGGATGGACATGTGCGGAGGTGCGGGTGGCTCTAGGAGGGCTCTGCGGCGACTCAAATTGACTTAAGGCTCGCATGAAAGAATTCAACGCAAGTACACGGGTCTACTGTGGCTCACACAGCATGTCGCCCCATGAGCTGCGCCCTGCCACCTGGCAGGCGCCAGCGACGGCCTGTCTTTCCCACCCCGTTGATCTTAGCCGGAGTGCGATGTTATCGTAGCTACACATGGATTTCAATGCAAGTTCCGGTCTAGGGCAACATCCCAAAGCTTCCATGGAATAGCAGGCGCCGCATAGCACACCAAGCTCCCCTCTTTTCCTGCGGCCCCTGCCTTTGGCAGCCCTGGGCGGCTCAGCCATGGTAGATCTTGAAGGTATCTGGCACGGATGCCGATATCTGCAGCAAGAGGAGGAGGACGGCAGGCCAGCATCTTCAGTCGCCCTGGCCTGACTGCAGCCCCGTGCCGCCTGCGGCAGTCAGGCGCTGCCAGCTGCGCCCTCACCTGGGCCCGGCACAGGGGGCAGACCCGCTTCTGCGTTGGCTGTGCCAGCAGCCTCTTGGTGCACGGCTGGCAGGTGATGCAGTGGCCGCAGGGCACCAGCGCCTCCAGCTGCGCAGCAGGTTCCATACAAAGCCGGCACTCCCTATGGCCGCCGTCGCTACCCGCGGTGCCAGGTGCAGCCGCAAGCTGTGGCGCTCTCGGCTCTGCCGCCGATGCATCCAGGGCGGCGTGCTGCTGCGTCGCGGCTGCCCGTGCGGCTGCCACCGCTGCCCGTGCTTCTGCCAGAGCTTCCAGGGAGCCGCCCTCGTCCTGCCCTGGCTGAGCCTCCGCCTGGGCAGCCGTGCTGCCAGCCGTGCCCTTGTTGCTGCCACCTGCATCCCAGCCGCCCGGGCCGCCTCTTTTCTTAATCTGCTTGGGGCGGCTGCATGCCGGCGCGCTGCTCACACAACTGCGCGTATCGCCGGTAGCCGCCATGGCGGGCACCTTGCCGCCCCGCTGGTGCCCCAGCTGCTTCAGCAGCTGCACGGCCCCAGGGTGCCGCCGCTCCTCCGCCAGCTGCGCCGCTGTCTTGCAGCCTTCGCGAGTCGGCAGGGCCAGGTCGGCCCCCACCTCTGCCAGCAGGCGCAGCATGGCAAGATCGCCCCTGCTGGCAGCCCAGTGCACCGCGGCTCAGCCCTCACGCCTGTCTGCAGCATCCGCCGCCGCCCCCGCCGCCAGCAGGACCCGCGCCGCCGCCTCGTTGCCGCTGCCTGCAGCCCTGTGCAGCGGCGTCTCGCCCCTGGCGTTGGCGTCGGAGGCGTCGGCGCCTGCCCCGATCAGCACCCGCAGGCTCGCCTCGCTGCCCCACGCAGACCAGCTTGCTGCACAGCTGAGGGCGGTCTCCCCACAGTTGCCCATGGCATTGACATCCGCCCCCGCCTCCAGCAGTGCACGGGTGGCGGCCTCGCTGCCCCACACTGCGGCATAGGTGAGCGGGGAGACGTCCTGCCGTGCAGCCCTGGCCTGAACGTCGGCGCCCGCACGCAGCCTGCGTGGCCGCCGTGGGCCGCCACGCCCAGCGGCGTCCGCCGCTGGCTGTTAACCGCCTCCACGTCGGCGCCCGCTGCCAGCAGCGTCGGCAGGCAGTGCGCGTGGCCACGCATGGCGGCATAGTGCAGCTCTGTGCCGTGCATGTTGTCAGCTGCTTCTACGGTTGAACCGGCCTCCAGCAGGGCTGTCACGCACGCCAGCCGGCCATACCCCGCCGCTGTGAGCAGCGGGGTGGGCCCGCTGGGGGCCAGCGTGTCGTTTGCCAGCCCCGGGTGCCGCCGCAGCAGGGCCCGCAGCCTGCCTGCGTCGCCCCGCCCGGCCGCCTTGTGTATCTCCCGCACCACGGCGGCGGTGTCGCTGGCGTCGGGCATGGAGTGGCAGCCGCCCATTCGTGGTTTGTTCTGTGGTTCGGGAGGAAAGGGGGGCGAGGGTGCAGGATTGAGGTTTCAGGGGTCTGGAGAAAGGCGCCATGCACATCAGCGAGGCGGGGCGGGCGGCAAGGGGCGGCAGTACCTCTGGGCGTTCGCTTCGTCACCTCTTTCCCTCTTTAATGGTGCAGAGCTGGTGATTTTGCGGGTCCCGAGGCGCACTCCTGCGAGGCTCAGCGGCGCTCCGACAGCAATCTCGACAAGGACGGTCTTGCGCAGGCAGTAGGTATGCTCATTTGTTTCTTAATGATGGAAACACGTGCTCGCACCTACCAAAGCCCCCCCCGGGGGCCAGCGCGAGTTAACTTCCTGCAAGCTTCCGCCGGGCACAGCGCGCAGCGCTGCCGACTTAACCTGCTGCCGTCCTGCATGCCAAGGGCCAATGTCTGCCGGTCGGGACCCGGACGGCTGCCAGCCGGTCGTGCCTGTAGCAAAGCACTGGTTGAGATGCTGTGTGCCGCAGCAGGTTGCCAGCACGGCGAATCGGTGCCGCGGTCGGCTGCAACCGCGGTCGGTTCAGGGTGTGTGCCTCCCTGGATCGACCTTTATGAAGCGTAGCTGGGGGATCTCCAAAATTCCAATCTTCAGATGGGTAAATGGCGATCGCAGACATCGAGATGCAGGTCTGGGCCACACCGCCGTGTGACACCGCGCCACAGCGGTGACGTGGCGGCGGCGGCCTCACCAAAGACATCACTCGAACTTCTCCGCGAACCCAAACCCTGCGGCCCTCTCACAGTGCACTCCGAGCGGCCCCGGCGCCCTACCGCCCCTGTCGCTTGCTTCTGCTGGCCTTGCTCCGCCAATCGCCACCCATTCCCTCCGCGGTTGCGCCCACCGATCATGCTGCGCAGCAGGCAGCTGCTGGCGCTCGGCGCCCGGCTGCAAATGGCGGGCAGCGGCGGCGCGGCGGCGGCGGCGGCGGCAGTCGCCAGCAGCGCCGCTGCCCCCTGGCGCCCCGCCCAGCACCAGCTGCTCTCCCTGCAGACCTGGGCCAGCAGCAGCCTCAGCCCCCCAGCTGCTGGCAGCTCCTTGCAGCACGCGGCATCCTCAGTGGCGGGCCGAGCAGCCAGCTCTGAGGCCGCAGCGGCGGCCCGGCGCCATGCGGCGGCGGCGGCAGCCAGCAGGCGTGGGCTGGCCACTGGCGCCGTCGCTCGGCCAGGGCCCGCGCCGCGCGGCACCTCCAAAGCAGGTGTGCAGCATCTGGAGGTTTAGGCTGCTGCTGCTGCTGCAGCCTGCGGGCTTGCGCTCACCCCGCCACGCCCTCCCTGCCCACCATCCCATCCCGCTCCGCCCGCAGGCAGCGGGCGCAGCCTGTGGTCTGGCCTGTTCCTGCTGGCGCCAGGTGCCCTGGCCGCCTTCCTCGGCAAGTGGCAGTGGGACCGACGCCAGTGGAAGGCGGCGCTGCTGGAGCGGCGGCGCGCCATGATGCAGGTTGGGGGGCCGCTGGCGCGCCGCCCGCCTGCTCACGCTTTCCTGGGACTGGGGCAGCCGGAGGGCAGGCTGCCCGTGCTCGGCTGCCGGGGCAGGGATGGGGCGCGGTTGTCTCACAGTGCTGCTGCGCCGCACATGCCTCAAATCCTCACCCGCCCGCGCCTCCCTCTCTGATGCCGTCCAACACCGCCGCCTCTGCGCCCCCCCGGCCCTGCCCCCCGCCTGCTCTCCCCTGCCCCGCCTCCCTCCAGGGCGAGCCTGTGGACCTCTTCGCTGCCGAGGAGGAGCCTCCCGAGTATGTGCGGGTGGCGGCGAAGGGGGTGATGGATCACGGCGCCTCCCAGTATGTAGGGCCCCGCACCCGACAGATCGCGGGAGTGTCCAAGCAGGTGCGGGCCGGCTCCTGGGAGTGGCGGCGGAGCCGGGGTTGTCGCGCCTGCCTGCCGCAGCTGGCAGGCGGAGCCGGTTTGCGCTCTCCATGCCGCGGGTTGGATGCGCCTGGCGGCGCAGCACCTGCGGCAGGAGGCGCTGCCTGCGCCGGATGCCTCCGCCCTGCCCACCTCCCTCGCCCCTGTGCCCCAAACGTGCCGCCACCCCAAGCCCTGCCCGCCGCCGCAGCACCCCTGCAGGGCTTCCTTGTGATGACGCCTCTGAGGCAGGAAGGCTCGGGGAGGGCTGTGCTGGTCAACCGCGGCTGGGTGCCCGCAGAGTGGAGGGAGGCGGAGGCGGCGCGGCGCGGCGGGCAGCCCGAGGGCAAGGTGGGCGCCTGGCCGGTGCGGCGGGCAGGCGCTGCGGCATCCATCTCCTGTCGCCCAGCAGTGCCTGCATAGGGTCCGTCATGACCCCACCACCGCCGGCTCCTCAAGCCTTGCCGCAAGGGCTGTGCCCTGGTGGCCAGCCCTCCCGCCACCACCACCCGCCCCAACCACCGCTGCCTGCCTGCCTCCCTCCCCGGCATGCAGGTGCGTGTGGAGGGCCTGCTGCGGCACGGCGAGGACCCAGGCGCTTTTGTGCCGCCCAACGAGCCCGGCAAGGGTGCGCCTCCCAGGGGCCGCCTGCCAGCCGCCTGTTGGCTCTGCTGAACACATTGCTTTGCTCAGCCCCGACCCCAGCCTCTGCGACGCCAAGTCCCAGCCCCAGCCCCAGCCGCGGCCAGCCAGCGAAGAGGGGCAGCAGCCAGCAGCAGCAGGGCCGCAGCCTGGAATCGCATCACCCTGGCGCTGCTGCCGCGTCCAATTCGGGTTGTACTGCTGCCGTACTGCTGTACTGCAGGCAACTGGTACTACATAAACGTTTCCGAGCTGGCGGCGGCGGCGGGGCTGCCAGCTGAGGCGCCCCTGGTGGAGGTGGTGACGGGTGGGTTACCATACTTTGGTGGCATGCTCCGCCATGTGTGTGTGGGCGTGCAGCGCCTGGCTGTGCATGGGTGGTAGCAGCAGGCAGGCTGGCCCTTCGTGCTTGCGACTCGCACTCGCCGCGCCCTTCCGCTTTCATCACGCCACCTCACTGCCCCACGCCGCCACCGCCGCCCTGTGGCGCTGCAGAGGATCCGGGCACCTACATCGGACGGGGGCCGCCCTCGGCCATGGACGTGCTGGGGGGGCGGGGCCGCTTGCCGCAGGCGCGTGGGGCGGCGGCCGGCCGGGGCGGCGCACGCAGGCGCCGCCGCGCTCCTCTGCCGCAGTGACATCGCAGCCAGGTCCGACCAGCAGCTCCCGTGCCTCTGCATGCGCAGGTGGAGGAGCGGTACCCGCTGCCCAAGTCGCTGGACGACCTCATGCACTTCAGGTGGGAGGGGTGGCGTGGTGTGGTGTGGTGTGCTGTGGTGTGGTGTGGTGCGGTGTGGTGTGTGCGTGTGATGTGTGTGTGACTGTGCGATATGTGTATGTGATGGGCGGACCACCCGCTCGCCCAGCAGCGGAGCTGGAACGGGCGGCAGAAGGCCCAACCCGCTCGCCCTGCCCCATCCGCCACCCCCTTGCCCGTCCACTCTCCGCTAACCGCGTTACCCACCTGCCTGCCTCCCCGCCGCCATCCGCTGCGTCCAGCGTGATGCCTCAGGACCACTTCAACTATGCCGCCACATGGTGGACGCTGTCTGCCGCCACGCTGGCGCTGGCGGTCAAGGCCATACGGCAGGGGGTCAGGGCGCGGTGACCGCCCGCCACGCCTGCAGCTCTGCAGCGCTCCTCCCCGTGGATGGCACAGCGCGCTCATGCGGTGTGCTCACCCGGCGGGTGGCGTCCGAATCTGCAGCTGGTGCGGCGCATTACAGCTGGGCGCACGTGTCCACGCTGGTGTTTAACAGACAGCCGCAGCCGCACCGTGCTCGGTGCTGGCGGTGCCATGTACTGCGTCGAGGCCGGCAGGCGCTCAGGCGTGTGGCAAAGGGGCTGCAGCCAGCCCGGTTCGATGTGTGGACCAAGCAGGCATGCAGGTGTCTCATCGAGCAGTTAAGCAGCATCAACAGATGGAAATGCAACAACAGATGGAAATGCATGGGATAACTCAAGCAAGGGGGCTCAATGCACACAAGGCCAGTGAGGCGGCATCATGGCTGCTCCAGCGCCCGCGCCAGGATGCGGTGGTTGACCTCTGCTGGCAGCGCCAATGCACCATGCAACAGCGCCGCCGCTCTGCCCAGGCTGAGGGCCGCGGTGCGCAGCCGTGCACGCTGCTCCTGCCCCAGCCGACCCACCAGCCACCCCGCCTCTGCCACAGAGCGCGCCAAAACGGGCGGCAGCGCGCGCGCCAGATCGGGGCAGGGCGCTCAAATGGAGTGCCACTCCTGCTGTGTGAGCGCCAGGCGAGAGACCAAGTCGGCGTAGAGGGTTGCAACGCCCTGCAGCTTCACTAAAATGCCCAACGTCGGCTGCACCGTCGGCGCCGCCCGCACCAGGCAGTGCACAGGTGCCGCGCCTTTAGCGTCTCTGTTAAGAGCATGGTCCAACGGGGTCCAGCCACTCGTATCAACAGCTGTAACTGTACCTGGTGCAGCCTCCAGCAGCAGCTGCACCACCGCTGAGTGGCCATCCCAAGCCGCAGTATGCAGCGGGGTGAAGCCCAGCATGTCCACTGCAGACACCGTGGCTGGGGCTGCCTGCAGCAGCTGCCGCACCACGTCCACATGCCCGGTTCCTGCCGCTGCATGGAGCGGCGTGAAGCCATCAGAGTCGACCATGGAGGGGCTGCGTCCAGCAGCATCTGCACCACAGCTGTGTGGCCCTCCTCAGCCGCGAGGTGCAGCGGGGTGAAGCCCAGCCTGTCCACTGCGGACGCCGTGGCTGGGGTTGCGCCCAGCAGCAGCTGCACCACGCCCACGTGCCCGCAACGCGCCGCTGCATGGAGCGGCAGAGAGCCATCTGCACCGGCTGCTTCAGTCGCGGCGCCGGCAGCCAGCAGCTCCCGCACCGCCTGCTCGTCGCCCGCTCTAGCTGCGACATAGAGATCCATGGTTCGTTCAGCTGCCCCGCCTGCAAAGACAACAGATGTCATCATTGCATTGGGGGCCACTCGGCAGCAGCAGGAGCGCGCTGCTTGACGAGGTGCGGCGGCGGCACGAGCCCCGAGGCCGCATAGGGGCGCTCTCTGTGCCAACCTCGCGTGGCCCCTGTCACCAGCGTCCAGAAACCTCACTCACCTGCTCACACGCCAGTCTTAGTGTGTTTCGCTGGCGGTGGAGGGGCGCGATGGCGGGGCCCGTGAAACACGCTCCTGGAGGGCTGGCAGCTGGGTGTGCTGGATCTTAGACGCCGTGTTTATTCCTTCTGCAGCTGCGGCTAAATTCTCCACAACCCATCACCCCTGCCTTGCCCTGTCGCAGCGCGGCAGGCGGCCAGGCTCTTGCCGCTGCCTCCCCAAGCCAGTAGGCCCCCTGCCTGTGACAGCCCTGACCGCCTGCTGGAATACAAGCCTGGTGTTGTGCACCCTTGCCACCTACTTCATCCCTGGGGCGCTGACCATGTGGTCGGCGCTTGCAGCGCCAGATCCGGGGAGGTGTTGATGGTTGCAGGCGAAGCTGGCCAGGCTGGCAAATGCAAAAGCAATGGAAGGAAATGCAAGCACTAGTGCAAGGGCTCAGTGCACACAAGGCCAGTGAGGCGGCATCATGGCGGCGCCAGCGCCAGCGCCAGGATGCGGTGGGTCAGCTCTGCTGGCAATGACGGCACGCCCCTCGCCCCCGCCGCCGCTCTGCCCAGGCTGAGGGCCGCAGTTCGCAGCCGTGCACGCTGCTCCTGACCCAGCCCACCCACCAGCCACCCCGCCTCTGCCCCAGAGCGCGCCAAGACGATTGGTAGCGCGCGCGCCAGATCGGGGCAGGGCGCTGGGATGGAGTGCCACTGCTGCTGCGTGAGCGCCAGGCGGGAGACCAAGTCGGCGAAGAGAGTGGCACTGGCTGGATGCCATTTGACTAGAATGCCCAACGTCGGCTGCACCGTCAGTGCCGCCTGCACCAGGCACTGCGCAGCTGCCAGTGCTTTAGCGCCTCTGTTAAGAGCAAGGTCCAGCAGGGTCCAGCCACAGTCATCAACAGCTGTTACTGTAGCTGGTGCAGCCTCCAGAAGCTGCTGCACCACCGCTGAGTGGCCAAGCAGAGCCGCATAGTGCAGCGGGGTCCAGCTCAGAGTGTCCACTGCAGACACCGTGGCTGGGACTGCCTGCAGCAGCTGCTGCACCACCGCTGCGTGGCCTCGCTTAGCCGCAATATGCAGCGGGGCGACGCCATCTGCCATTGCAAACGCCGTGGCTGGTGCTGCCTCCAGCAGCAGCTGCACCACCGCGGTGTGGTCCTCCTCAGCCGCATAGTGCAGTGGGGTCCAGCCCCGACCGGTCGCTGCAGACGCCGTGGCTGGGGCTGCCTTCAGCAGTTGCTGCAACACCACTGCGTGGCCTAACTCAGCCGCATAGTGCAGCGGGGTCCAGCCCAGACTGTCCACTGCTGACACCGTGGACGGGGCTGCATCCAGCAGCTGCTGCACCACACCCACATGCCCGGCTCGCACCGCTCCATGGTGCGGCAGCCTGCCATCTTCATCGGCTGTTTCAGCCGCAGCGCCAGCAGCCAGCAGCTCCCGCACTGCCTGCTCGTCGCCCGCTCTAGCTGCGCCATATAGATCCATGGTCCGTGCAGCTGCCACGCCTGCATCAGACACATTCTCATTGAGGCTCAAGCAGCGTGGAGCGCGCGCTGCTTGACAAGATGCGGTTGCGGCAAAAGCCCCGACGGCCGCCAAGGGGCGCTTTCTGTGCCAACCTCGCGTGGCCCCTGTCACCAGCGTCCAGCAGCCTCACTCACCTGATCCTACGCCAGTCTTTGGGTGTTTCTCTGGCCGTGGACGCGCGATGGCGCCGGCAAGTCCGTGAAACAGGCGCCTGGAGAGCTTCCAGCTGGGTGTTGAATCCCAAACGCCCCTTCCGAATGGAGAGCAATTTGAGCAGGTCTGCACACCACACCACCCTGCTCTGCCCCGTCACAGCACGGCATCTAGCGAGGCTCTGGCCGCCGCGCGCCACACTCTTGCTTGGCCTCCTGCTGCACGCCACATCCCTTTCTGGCCGGTGACCCGCGTGGTTTTCCTGGCGGCTGTCTGTGCGGGGCTGACAGCATGCGGAGCCCTGTGCCTAGGTTGTGGGCGGCGCCTGCGCCGTGGGAATCACTCAGCTTGTTCAGTGTCATTATGGACAATTCATCATGGAATAGAATCGGGAAGAATAAAAGAATGGGGCTGCATGCTGGGCTGCAGGAAGTCCTGCGCCATGCGGCCAGTAAGCTGGCTGCGGCACAGATAAGTTGAATAGCACGGTCATTGATGAATGACGATCCTTGATAATGCAACGGTTTTTGCTACGCCATGGCTGCAAATGCCGCCGCCGCAGCACCCAGCAGGGCCACAGCTGAGAGAGCCGAGAGCCTGCCGGCGTCGGCGCCGCCGTTCGACGCCCGCTCCTGCTGCACGACCGGCTGCGGCAGCGGGTCGCTGCTGCCTGTGCTGCTGCTGCCACCGCTGCCGCCGATACCCGCAGCACTGTCGGCAGCAGCAGCGACAGCACCTGCGTCCTCTGGGGCAGACGCCTGTACCAGCAGCGGGCCACAGTAAATGGCGTCCTCTCCGCCGCCGCCGGCACCCTCCACCGCTGTGTACGCCTGGACAGCCCCGGCGCCCTCGCTGCCGCCGCCGCCGCCGATGCCCACGCAGCGCCCCGGCAGGCCGCCGGGCAGCTGCACGCTGTACCCGGCGTCGAGGCCCGCGCCGCCGCTGGCGCTTCTGTTCCCGCTGCTGCCGTTCCCGCTGCCTGCCGCAGGGCTGGGGTCGGGGGAAGGCGCCCCATACACATAATCAGAGGCCACGACCTGCAGGCGAGGGATGGCCGGCGTGGATGCGTGTGTGCGCATTGCGTGGGGTGGCGGCTGGTCGCGGCGGCAAAGGAAGGCGGGGCAGCGACCTGCTGACAGCCGACAACCGCATGCAGGGTCGCTCCCTCCACTCCCCCCCCCGGCAACCCTTCCCCAACCGCCGCCTCCCCAGTCCCAGCCGCCCGCACCCACCTGCGCGCCGGCGGCGATGATGGCGTCCCGCCGTCCCGCAAACCCGGACCTCGCCTCCACGGTATCTGCGTCGGTACGGGCCCGTACCACGAACCCCTGCTGCAGCATGTCGCGCACAGCGGCCGCCATGTCGTTCACCTGCGGGGCGGCGCAGAGAGGGGTGGGGAGGGAGGTGGGCGTGGGCAGGCCAAGGGGCGGTGGGGAAGGGAGGAGGAGGGCGAGGTGGGATCGCTGGGGAAGAGGCAGAGAGCGCCTGTTTTGGCAGGGCTGCCGCGCTGCGACGAGAACTGCAGGCGATCCGCAGCCCCTTGCAGAGTAGCAGCAGCAGCAGGGCACGCGCGCGCTGGCAGCGAGGGGCGCAGCGGCAGCGGGAGGCGGCGGCGGGCGGCGCACCAGGCCCGAGGCGTTGGCGGGGAGGGCCAGGCTGAGGGCGGTGGCGTCGTCTTGCAGGCGCCAGACGGCGGTGGCGCGGAAGGCGGCTTGGGGCAGCGGGCGCCGCCCGTTCTGCTCCACCCAGGCCAGGCAGCCCCCTGCGGCAGGGGGGCGGGGGTGCAGGTGCGCGCATGTGTGGGTGTGGGTGTGGGTGGGTGCTTGCATGTGTGTGTGTGTGGTGGCGGTAGTGGGTGGGTGCAGTGGGTGGTGGGTTGAAGGGCAGAGTACGGTCAAGCGTGGTGGGCGGCACCAGGGATGACGCGGGTTGGACAGCGGCCGGGGACCGGGATGGCAGGGAGGAGCATGCTGGCAAGCAGGCCGGCTGGCAGGCTGGGCCGGGCAGGCGAGCCGCGGACTGGCGGGCACAGGGCAGCACTGCCAGGCATTCACGCCATTCAAGCATTGCATTCACGCCAGCCAGGCATTCATGCCAGGCTGGCAGGGCAGGGGGCGACGGCTCACTCAGGTCTGGGTACACCTGCTGCAGGTGCGCCGCCAGCCCGCTGTCGCCATACTGGATCAGCTTCACCAGCACCTTGCCGCGCATGGACCCCAGGCTGGGCCAGGGGCTGCCAGGGCAGGGGCGCAGGGAGGGAGAAGACATACAAGGGCGGAGTCGGCAAGGGTGGACAGAGGCGGCAGGGGCAGGCGGGCGTGGGCCGGCACGGGGAGCGGCGGCAGGCGCCGCCACCCTGCCGCGGGCGGCGTCCCGGAGCTCCCGCTCACCAGGGCGTGGTGCCGGGCGGCGCCAGCAGAAGCTGCTGCAGGTCGGCGCCCGCGGCTGCCCCCGCCGCCGCCCGCACGTCGTCGGGGGTCAGAAGGGCGCCGCCAAACGCGGCCTCCAGCTCCGCCTGGAGATCCAGGAACAGCTGGGGGCTGGATGCAGGGGCCTGGGCCAGGCTGCAGGCGTGGGGAGGGAAGGGAGGGAGGGGCAGGGCAGGGTGGCAGAGGGGCCGAGGTAGGGAGGTTGAGAAATAGCGCAGGGAGGGGAGGAGGCACCGGCAGTCGCAAGGCAGGCGGCAGGGGCCTGGCCGGCTCGCATGCTGCCACGGCACCGGGCCGCCATCGGCAGCAACAGCAGCACTGGCAGCACCAGCCCTGCAGCCGCGGCAGCAGGGAAAGCGGGAGGAGGAGGAGGAGGTGCCTCTCACGTGGTGGGACCCTCGGCGGAGCTCGTATTGAGCAGGTTGAGGAGCAGCCCCATCAGCAGCTCGCCCAGCGCCTCCTCCACCTGCGGCCAGAGAGGAAGGACAGCGGAGCCGGCAGGAAAACATGAGGCAGGCAGGAAGACAGGCCAAGGTTGGCAGCAGGCGCCTGCGCGTGCTGGCAGGCCGCGGCGGGGCGTGGCCTGGGGGCGGTGGGCGCCAGCAGAGATGCGGACCCGCCCTCACACACAACACACACACACACACACTCACCTGCCCGCCCTCCTTGACCTCGATGTGTATCTGGATGGGGAGGTGTCCCGGGTTGGCGTCTGCGGCGGCGGGCAGGCAGGCGGCATCGGAGGCGAGGCAGCGACGGGCGGCGGCGGGCGGCCCGGGCTGCCTCTGGCCCCGCCCCGCAACATCCCCCAACCTCCACACACGCACACACACACACACTCCCTCTCTCCCTCTCTCTCCACACACACACACACACTCCCTCTCTCTCTTTCTCTCTCTTTCTCTCTCTTTCTCTCTCTCTCTCTCTAAACACACACACACACACACACACACACACACACACACACACACATGCGCATGCCTGCCGGCCGCCGCCTCACCCGACCACCTCCGGACCTCCTCCAGGCACTCGCTGAGCAGGATGCAGGAGGAGCGGAAGTCAAAGTCGGGGACGTGCAGCACCTGCTGGGTGGACAGGGAAGGAGGCGGGGTAGCGGCAGGCGCAGCGGCATTGGCAGAGGGGGTGGGTGGGCGCCACTGGCGGCAGGAGGGTGGGCAGAGCCTGCTGCAGTGCAGCGTGGCTGGGAGCGGGCAGCCGCCCAGCAGGCAGCGACAGCTGGGAGCGCCCAGAGGAAAGCCGGGTGGATGCGCCCCGCTGGCAGATGCGCTGGCGTTTCAGTGGCAGGCGGGCGGCCCTGCCAGGCAGCCAAGCGAGCACGGCGCCACGCCCGCACCTTGAAGCCGGGCTGCTGGTATTTGGGGTCTGTCAGCCACCCGCTCTGCCCCGCGATGCGCAGCCCCGCAGCCTGCGGCAGAGGAGGGGAGAGGCGCATTCGCTGCGGGCCAGGTGAGGCCAGCCGGCGGGCGAGGGCCAGCGAGGGAGCGCCTCGCTGCTGCCCCGCCGCTGGCCGCAACCCCTGCATGCCGCCGCAGTACCAAGCTTAGCAGGATGTCACCATGAACCCATGTCGGAGCGGCGCACCTGTGCGTAGGCGCCCCCCTGAGGATCCCAGTACGCGTCGAGCTCCAGGGCTCGCACCCCAGCATCCAGCTGCTGCGTCAGCGTCGCCTGGCTGGACTGCCAGGCGAGCAGCGGGCCGTCGGCCAGCCCGCCCAGCGCAGCCAGCAGCTCCGCAGGCGGAGCCAGGTGGTAGCTGTTGTGGGAGCCCAGGACCTGTGCAGCGGGCAGCAAAGGGGAGGAGGGTGGGCTGGCGACAATGGGGGCAGGGAGAGTGCAAGCGGTGTCGGGCCGGCGCCATCCGCCGCAACCACCGCCCGCGCAGCGCTCGCCATCCGCACTTGCAGCTGGTTGAAGCACAGCTCCTGTGCATCGCCACCCTGGGCTGCCGCGCCACTTGCGGCTACAAGGCAAAGCATTCTCAGTGAGAGACAGACATCGACAGGATCGCTGGCTGCGTGCATGTTTTACACACCACCGTGCCCTGCACTCGCGCCAGGCGGACGCAGGGACCAAGGGAGGAGGGTCGGTCGCAGGACGCGTCCCACACACCTGCGGCCACCAGCAGCAGCAGCGCCGCCTCCAGGCCCCACATTCTCCTTTGCCAACCGCTTAATGGGCACGATGGCTGGCCGGGCGTTGCCCATGTTGCAAGCGGAGGGTGCCAGCGAGGCGGCGGGAAGAGCAGGCGCCGGCGCCACATGCAACGCGGTGATGCTCGCTCGCAGAAGGAGATCACGCTGCTGCTCTCCTGTTACACGGTCGGCGACCTCATGACACTTGAAATTATGTCAGCAGACGACTTAATGCACAGGCACTGGCACGATAGGCATGCAAGGGTGTGCACAGCAGCTTCCCCGCGGCGCCCAGGCCCTGGCAGGGCCGCTGCGGCACTGCGGAGTCTCGGCGCATCATGCACGCTCTGTTTGTTGATCGCCACATGCGTACCCTTGATGTTTGTAACAAACTCAAAGAGAAAACCAATCAAAGACGTTGCGCTGGTCGGCAGTAGCCTGCCCGGCAGATTCAGGCATGAAGAGTACTCAAGTGCATGCCATGCTGTACTTTACAAGAGCACGATGCAAAACAACCAGCTCTAGCATTCGGACAGGAGCCGATAGGTGCGGTGGTGTGCAGAGGGGATCTGACGTGTACTCCAAGAACAATGCAATTCAAGTAAAAATGCAGGTGACAGTACTTGTTGTCTCCCTCTCATCAGAAAGGCTCGCAAGCAGCAAGGGGAATTCAACCAGGCAGCCTGATGTGGTTTGCTAGCCACAGGGAGCCGGCGGCGCAGCGCGGCAATACCAGTACATCAATAAACTAAAACAGCCCACATCTGTGATGGGCTTCAGATCCTGCCCAGCAGGAAGCGCGCCAGCAGCAGCCCCAGCCACAAGGCCGCCACGCCGGCACACAGGCGGGCGAGCACGTGGGGGCGCAGCGCCGTGTGGGCTGCCGAGGCGGCGCCAGCTGCTGCGGCTGCTGGTGCTACCGCGCCCAGAGCATCCAGCTCTCGCAGCATGGCCTGCAGGCACAGGCGGGGGACCATCGGGAGGGTTGCAAACCAGTGGCGTGCAATGGCAGGCAGCGGGGCGGGCAGCAGGCAGCCGCAGGCGCGCCCCTGTTCGCCTCACCTCGGCCTTCAATGCCGCGGTGCGAGGGCCGGGGACGGGTGCCTCTTCGCTGTCGCTGCCGGCCCCACCGCCGCCGCCGCTGCTGCCGCCGCCGCCCTCTGGGTCGCCAGGGCTTTTGGGCCCCTCAACTTCATCCGCCACCTCGACCTCTGCACCAGGGCAATACAGGGCGGCATGCTGCTCAGGCGATGCAGGTGCGTGGAAGCACGCAGCTGGGAAGCGCCTGCCCTGGCAGCTCTGGAGGGGCGTACTGCACGGCAGCGGCGGCAGAGCTGAGCTCACCCTGGGAGTGAGAGTGGCTGGCCTCGTCCAGAAGCTGCTCCGCAGCCAGCTCCAGGGCCAGCTTCATGCTGGCTTCATCTGAGGAGCGGGAGCCCGAGGCACAGGCCTCCTCGGCGGCAACTACTGCACCCGCCGCGGCGTCTGCGGCAGCCCCCGCCACATCAGCCGCCTGCTCCAGCATGGCGAGCAGCGCGGGCATGCCGTGCCGCCGCGCAAAGCCCGCCGCCGCGCGCGAGGCGGCGGCCACGGCGGCGGGCGGCAGCGGGCCGGCATGGTGCTCCTCCCGCTCCGGCTCCCGCAGCCCCGCCTCCCGCTGCTGCTGCTCCTCCTCCTGCTGCTGCTGCTGCTCCTGCTGCTCCAGCACCCGTCGCTCCTCCAGGTATGCAGCAGCCAGGCCGATGTCCCTCAGGAGGCCGTCCAGCTGCGCCGCGCCTGCAGGCCAGGGAAGGGTGGGAGCGGGGGCACAAGGGCCAGGGGAACTCTTTGGTGGAAGCAGGTTCAGGTCTCTTGTGTAAACACAGATAAAAAAAGATTTCATGCATGGCATGCAGGCGCAGGGCCCCACAGGGGCAACGAGGCAGCTCGGGGTCATTTGCAGCACACGGAGCACACACAGCGCGGCCTGCCCCACAGCCCAGCGGCCCGCGCAACCCCGCCCGCTCGCCGCACCTGCGGCTCCGCTGCACTGCACCAGCAGCTGCACCTCGCCCGCCGCCCGACGGTCCCGCAGCACCAGCAGCGGGGCGGGCGCGCTGAGCAGCACGGTGCCGTGCGGCCAGGGCTGGCGTTGCCAGGCGCCGCCGCCACCGCCCCTGCGCAGCGGCAGCTGCACCTCAAGCTCACAGCAGCCCGGGCGCAGCCCCACAGGGCGCACCCAGGCCCCTCCGCCGCCAGTGCCGCCCTGTGGCCCGCTACTTGAACCGAGCACGTCGTCGTCGCTGTGTGCGCCGGTGCTGGTGGCAGCGCTGTCGATGTCGCTGCCGCTGCCGCTGTAGCTGTCGCTGCCGCTGCCAGCCAGGGAGCCGTTGCGGTCGCCGTACCCGCCAGCCTCATGCGCCGCGGCGGAGGCTGCGGGGCCCGCTGCCGCGCCGCGCCACACCTCGACCGCCAGGTGCCTGCCTGCACGCCAGGACGCGTCCTCGCGTGAGGGGGTGGTACCGAGGCGGTACCAAGGCGGTACCAAGGCGGGCAATTCGAGCGGATGGGACGCACGGGGGCATCGCCTTTCGGGCAGAACACCAGCCAGCAGCCGCCAGCAGGGCGCCAGGCAGGCAGAACAGCAGCCAGGCGATCTTATAAGGACGCCTGCGTCCCGTCAGCCGGGGCCCCTTGTCAGCCCGGGTTCAATGCACCAAGCAGCGCGGCAGGCGCCTCACCCGCCTGTCGGCACAGCACCACTGCGCCCCTGCCGATGTCGCCGGCAGGCACACCGCCCGGCTCTGCACCTGCCTGCAACTGCAGCTCCAGCAGCGGCCAGGGCTGGCCCGGCGGCGGCAGCGCAAGGCAGGCGGGGCGCACCACCAGGCGTGGCTCGGGGGCGGCGGCGGCCTTCGGCGCGGCGCCGCCGCCTGCGGCCCACGCCACCTGCCCCTGCCACTGCAGCAGCACGGGGCTGCGCGCAGCCGCGCCCAGGGCGGCGGGGGTACGGAGGGCGCGCAGGAAGGCGGCCGCGGTGACGGCGGCGGCGGCGGCGGCGGCTTGCGGGGTCAGGGCTATGTCGAGCGTCAGGTGGGTGCAGCCAGGCCTGGAGGCACAGGGCAGCGGCAGGGGCAGGAAGTCGGCAGGAAGCCAGCAGGAAGCCGGCAGGAAGCCAGCAGGAAGTTAGCAGGAAGAAAGAGGGCGCACCTGCCAGAGGGCGGCCCTGCTCAAGCATCCCGCCTCTGCATCGCGCGGCCCCCACGGCAGGCGGCGCCACGCGATGCACGGAGGCACGCGCTGCCCGTGCATCTGCCCTCGCCGCCGCCCGCTGCCCCCACCTGATACTGCCCATGATGCGGCAGCCGGCGCCCACCACGCTGTGCAGCTCCTGCCTCAGGTGAGGGCCCAGCTGGTCGGGGGTGCAGTGAAAGATCTGCGGCAGGCAGGGAGGCGGCGGTACCGCACGTCGCATCGCTGAGAAGCAGGCGAGAAGAAGCCGGGCAAGGAGTCAAAGAGCAGGCAGGCCGCCCCGCAGGTGTGCCTGCCCGCAGGCATCGGGCGCGGCGCTGGCAGCAGCACGGGAGGCAGCTGGCTGGGCCGATGAGCGCGTGCAGGCATCCCAGGCAGCAGCAGCAGCAGCTCACCTTGAGCGACAGGCGGTGCACGGCTGCTGGGCACGCGTACTCTGCCGCGTGCTGCCAGGCCTGCGGCTGCGGCTGCAGCGGCTGCAGCGGCAGGCCCGCGAGCGGCATCCCCGGTGCCACCTGCTGCACTGGCCCCGCCTCTCCCAGCAGCTCCGCATCTTCCACCTCCACCTCAGCTACCCCGACTGCGCTGCGCGCTGGTGCCAGGGAACAGAATGGCAGCCCCGCCGAAAACCTCCCAGCTGCCGCGCCCAGGCCGCTGCCGCTGCTCGGCACCAGCATGGGCGCCGCCAGCAAGGGCTGTTCTGCCAGCCCGCCGGTTGTGGGCAGCAGCCAGGGCTCCTCCTCCAGC